AGGAGCAGCAGAGGCATCATAGAATGGGTGCGGAAAGAACAGGTGACATCCAAACACATATGTGAGGGTGCATCCATGCCTTGGCACATGAGGACCATGGATGGGTCATGGCACTTGACACCCTTGGTGCATGCATGGCTGACTAGAGAAGCGCACGAGAGCCATGCACGTACTGAGATGGGGATGTAGACGGCCAGCGAGTAGCCGTACAGACACCACAGCTGAACCAACCCCGCCGACACCTGCACATGTGCAAACATCACGCCATGCACGCGCCATACAAACGTCATGTACAGGCAAGCAGGCAGGAACATTGAACGAAGGTTCAAAATTATGGCGTTTATTTTTTATTTTTTGCCTGTATAATACGATTACGTAATTTAGGGCCGCATAATACGAATATTACGGTTCAAAATCCCCTTATTTTGCGGCCGTTTTTTCTAAACCTAAGGTGTACATTCACAATGATGGGTTTTGTATCAGAATTTTGGGGGTTGTGGTACATGCGCACCCCGAGTAGTAGGAGGAGGTAGAGTATGCGGAGGAGTAGGGATTAGGGGGAAATAGGGGTCCCGGACGTCACACCTTTCTGTAGGTCGTGTTTGTAGGTGCCACGGTGCATAAAGAAGCACTCACTTGACGTTTGAGCTGCATAGGAGCCATTCTCCCTTGGAAAAAAAATCACCTGCTCTATTTATATTACGCCGTTTTTTCCCCAAACCGTAAAAAACGGCCGTAATTTACGGACCGTAAGTTACGAAAACCGCAATCTTGAACCTTGCTGCTGACGATCAAAAGAGCAGCGTGCCAGGGCAGGGAGGCGCATTCCGCATTTAATGGAGGTCAGACGGGAAGAGCTACAGGCTTTTTGTATCTGCACAGGGCAGCTGGTTACCTGGAGGTAGCGCAGGGCAGGTGGTTACCTGGAGGTAGCGCAGGGCAGGTGGTTACCTGGAGGTAGCACAGGGCAGGTGGTTACCTGGAACAGCAGCAAGCACAGGGTACCTGGAGGTAGCGCAGGAGGAAGAAGAGGACGAGCGGCACGACAGCCACGTAGCCGTAGAAGATGGCGGCGGCCCATGAGACGACGTCAATGTTGTAGTGCCAGTGCTCGTCCGACCCCGACCCCGCCGCGTAGCTCAGGTAGCTCGCCAGGTTGCCCAGGGACGCCGACAGGAACACCAGCGTCGTGCAGATCCAGAACGGGCCGTAGCTGCAGGGGGAGGAGAGAGGGGGGCGGGCAAGCAGGGCAGTGCGTGGGGGTGTTGCTCTGTGAGGGATGAGCACTGGTTGATGTGTGCGCAGTGCGGTGTGAGAGGAGCAGCGGCATAGACGCTAGCAGTGCAGCAGATGGAGTGCCATGGCGGCCTCGCACCAGCGCCACCAGATGGCTTGGCATCGCTGCTGGCTTGGCATCGATGCTGGCTTGGCATCGCTGATGGCTTGGCATCGCTGCTGGCTTGGCATCGCTGCTGGCTTGGCATCGATGCTGGCTTGGCATCGCTGATGGCTTGGCATCGCTGCTGGCTTGGCATCGCTGCTGGCTTGGCATCGCTGCTGGCTTGGCATCGCTGCTGGCTTGGCATCACTGCTGGCTTGGCATCGCTGCTGGCTTGGCATCGCAGCTGGCTTGGCATCGCTGCTGGCTTGGCATCGCTGCTGGCTTGGCATCGCTGATGGCTTGGCATCGCTGCTGGCTTGGCATCGCTGATGGCTTTGCATCGCTGCTGGCTTTGCATCGCTGATGGCTTGGCATCGCTGATGGCTTGGCGTCGCTGCTGGCTTGGCATCGCTGCTGGCTTGGCATCGCTGCTGGCTTGGCATCGCTGATGGCTTTGCATCGCTGATGGCTTGGCATCGCTGCTGGCTTGGCATCGCTGCTGGCTTGGCATCGCTGCTGGCTTGGCATCGCTGCTGGCTTGGCATCGCTGATGGCTTTGCATCGCTGCTGGCTTTGCATCGCTGATGGCTTGGCATCGCTGCTGGCTTGGCGTCGCTGCTGGCTTGGCATCGCTGCTGGCTTGGCATCGCTGCTGGCTTGGCATCGCTGATGGCTTGGCATCGCTGCCCCGCATGAGTCGCAGCACGCTCTGACTGCCTTGGCGCCCCCTCACATGTCCGGGTTGAGCGCGGTCTTCTCGAGGAACGCGGAGCGCGGGAAGGGCATGAGGGCGTCCTTCACTCGCTCCGCCACGTCAGCCGTGTCCACGTCGAAGAAGGGGCGGTAGAACGCCACGCTGAACACTCCCCAGATGCCCGAGGGGGGGGGAGGGGCGGACGGCCCTGGCGCACCAGCTGTTGAGGAAAAGGTGTCTGCCAGGCACATGGGGGGGGAAGGGGAGAGGAGGGGGGAGGGGGGAAAGGCGGTTGGGACGAAGTTGGAGAGGGTGGGGGATGCATGGTGGAGGTTGTTGAGGTTGAGGCATGGAGGCATGGAGGAATGGCATCAGCCGCACAAGGCGTCCCCCTACGCGTAACCCCCTTGTGTGCCCCTAAGCCGTGGCCGTGCATCACTCACCTCAGCCGTGGCCGTGCCTGCACTCACCTCAGCCGTGGCTGTGCCTGCACTCACCTCAGCCGTGGCTGTGCCTGCACTCACCTCACCCGTGGCTGTGCCTGCACTCACCTCAGCCGTGGCTGTGCCTGCACTCACCTCAGCCGTGGCTGTGCCTGCACTCACCTCAGCCGCGGCCCTGCACTCACCGGAGCCTCTGCTGCCTGCTGGCTCGGGAGTGTAGGGGAACTCTGCCAAGCATACAAGGGAGGGGGGGAGGAGGGGGGGGGGGGGGGTGTGTGAGGGAGGAGAGGGGGGAGGGAATGAGCGGAAAGGCGGACCGTGGGGGGGTACAGAAGCACGTTGTTGAGTCTCGGAGAAACTTTCGAGAAACCCATGTTTCTTCCACACTCCCCCTTTTTTTACAAGTGGCTCACACCAGGCAAACTAAGCTACCCCACTCTGGCTCGCCCGACTCCTTACTGGGATTCGAGCAACTCGAGTCCCTGGCTTGAAAGGACATACCGGGGTGCGTCAGAGGGACATCGGCTCCTTGGGCCACCTGAGGGCGATGGGGGCAAGGGCGAGGGGGGCGAAGCAGGGCAAGATGAGGATGGGCTAAACGGGAGCACGGCATGAGCGACGCACGAGCGACGCATGAGCGACGCACGAGCGACGCATGAGCGACGCACGAGCGAGGGGGCGGGAGTGGGTGTGACGGGTGGGGCGAACCCAATGGCAAACGCGGCCGCAGCAGCAGTAGACAGCAGGGAAGGGCGGCTGGGACTTGGCGTCAGGGAGGCTGGGACTTGGCGTCAGGGAGGCTGGGACTTGGCGTCAGGGAGGCTGGGACTGCGGGTGGTTGGGTGACTGGGAGGGGCAACGTGACGGGGAGCAGCAGGCCCATTGGGCGGCAAGGGGACGACCGCACAACTTGCGAAGCAGCAAGGCATCTGCCGCGGGCAAGGCATCTGCCGCGGGCAAGGCATCTGCCGCGGGCAAGGCATCTGCCGCGGGCAAGGCATCTGCCGCGGGCAAGGCATCTGCCGCGGGCAAGGCATCTGCCGCGGGCAAGGCATCTGCCGCGGGCAAGGCATCTGCCGCGGGCAAGGCATCTGCCGCGGGCAAGGCATCTGCCGCGGGCAAGGCATCTGCCGCGGGCAAGGCATCTGCCGCGGGCAAGGCATCTGCCGCGGGCAAGGCATCTGCCGCGGGCAAGGCATCTGCCGCGGGCAAGGCATCTGCCGCGGGCAAGGCATCTGCCGCGGGCAAGGCATCTGCCGCGGGCAAGGCATCTGCCGCGGGCAAGGCATCTGCCGCGGGCAAGGCATCTGCCGCGGGCAAGGCATCTGCCGCGGGCAAGGCATCTGCCGCGGGCAAGGCATCTGCCGCGGGCAAGGCATCTGCCGCGGGCAAGGCATCTGCCGCGGGCAAGGCATCTGCCGCGGGCAAGGCATCTGCCGCGGGCAAGGCATCTGCCGCGGGCAAGGCATCTGCCGCGGCAAGGCATCTGCCGCGGGCAAGGCATCTGCCGCGGGCAAGGCATCTGCCGCGGGCAAGGCATCTGCCGCGGGCAAGGCATCTGCCGCGGGCAAGGCATCTGCCGCGGCAAGGCATCTGCCGCGGGCAAGGCATCTGCCGCGGGCAAGGCATCTGCCGCGGGCAAGGCATCTGCCGCGGGCAAGGCATCTGCCGCGGGCAAGGCATCTGCCGCGGGCAAGGCATCTGCCGCGGGCAAGGCATCTGCCGCGGGCAAGGCATCTGCCGCGGGCAAGGCATCTGCCGCGGGCAAGGCATCTGCCGCGGGCAAGGCATCTGCCGCGGGCAAGGCATCTGCCGCGGGCAAGGCATCTGCCGCGGGCAAGGCATCTGCCGCGGGCAAGGCATCTGCCGCGGGCAAGGCATCTGCCGCGGGCAAGGCATCTGCCGCAGGCCGCGGGCAAGGCATCTGCCGCGGGCAAGGCATCTGCCGCGGGCAAGGCATCTGCCGCGGGCAAGGCATCTGCCGCGGGCAAGGCATCTGCCGCGGGCAAGGCATCTGCCGCGGGCAAGGCATCTGCCGCGGGCAAGGCATCTGCCGCGGGCAAGGCATCTGCCGCGGGCAAGGCATCACGGCATCTCAGGGGCATACCGGCACGGCGCCGATGCGGCCGTACTGCCCCACGTTGTCCGACATGCCCGACATGATGCCGCCGCCGCTGCCGCGCGGGACGCCGAGCGCAACGCGCGCGCAGACGGATAAACCACGAGCAGCTGGCGGAAAGACAGACGAGTGCGACGATCGGCGGCGGGGAGGCGCGGAGGATGGCGTCGAGGCCGCGCGGATGGCGGCAGAGGCGGCGAGAAGCGAGTTACAGGCGAGAGCGAGAGATCCTCGACAGTCGGAAAGCGGCAAGATTCCGAATCAGGGATCTCAGTGCTGGTCTGGTTGTGCTCCGCTTGAAGTTCATAAACACCGAGATGAATCACAATACACGAAGCCTCTAGGGGGCATCGTTATACAAAAAATGTGGCATCTCAACTAAATTTCAACACCATCCGTCAAACGATTACATGCATGTGCAATGATATCTATATCTGGATGAATGGCAATTTATACAGATTAGCAAACCAATGTTAGCCTATTTCGGGAATACATCATTGCGATGGTCTATTTTGTAGGTATACAGTAATGTGTTGATGCACGAAGGCACACACCTTCTCCCTCAACGGGCGCTCCTCAATGGGCCGCAACACGCCACCCTGCGATGCCATGGCGTGGCAGCAGTGCAAGCGAGCACAAAACACAGGAGTGCACATCATGATCACAGGGGGGATGCACTGACCCTAGGCGTGGCCACTCTGAGCGACTAATGGCACCCCAACTCGCGCTTTGACTGAGCCCCCTGGCACCTAGCGGCCCTCACCTGCTTGCAGCGCTGGCCCCTCTTCACCGCCTCCTTCCCCACCACCTCCCGTGTCAACCGCCCCCGCATGCGCTCCACCTCCCGCCCCGACAGCTGGCCAAGGGAGAGAAGGCGCAGGGGAGAGAGAGGGGAGAGATATGGGTGAAGAGTGGGGGCAGTGAAACGTGTCGCCCTTGAGACGGCTGATGCTGCAGCAGGAGCAGCAGCAGGTGCTATTGCAAACTGGGCACGTGAGCCTAGAGCAACAAGACCAGTAAGACATGGAGCAACAGCAACGGGGGGATGAGGGTGAGGGAGGAAGGGGGGAGAGAGAAAGAAGGCGAGTAGGGGGTGCGGAAGGGAGAGAAGTGTTTGGGTGGAGGGAGTTACCGTGGAGAGGAAGGGAGCCATGGCGTGCTGCACGATGCCACTCACCTGCACATGCAACAGGCACACACACATGGATTCCCAAGTCAGCACCGCATCACACGGCATATCTAACCATGAGGAAGCCCTGTCCCATCCTCCATCCCCACCATCTCCCATCTCCCATCCCCCATCTCCCCCATCTCCCATCTCCCATCTCCCATCCCCCATCTCCCATCTCCCATCTCCCATCCCCCACTCCCCCACCCCCCATGCTCCCATCTCACCGCATCCTCGAACTCGCGGCACAGAGGCGTGGCCCACTGTCGACCCCCCACCATGCTGCCACCTATTGCCACCGATGGGGCTGCTGGGGCTGCTGCTGCTGGGGCTGCTGGGGCTGCTGGGGCTGGCGCCAAAAATGCCACTGGTGGGGCTGATGGGGAAGTGGTGCGCTGCTTTGCATCCAATGGTGTCGCCTTCTCCTGTCCACCTGCTGCTGCCTTCCCTCTTTCTCTACCCTCCTTGCCTTCTTCCTCTGCGCCTCTTCCGTCAACCCCTACCACCATTCCTTTTACTTCCTCAACCACTGCCTGCCCACCTGTTGCCGGCCCACCCACTGCGTGCGCACTGGCTACGGCATCTGCACCGTCACTCAAATCCATGTCCACATCCATCTCCATCTCCATCTCCATCTCCATTTCCCCATCCTCACCCACGCCCACTCCCATGCCCATACCCAATCCCATGCCCCCGCCCACACCCATGCCCGCGCCCACACCCATGCCCGCGCCCACACCCATGCCCGCGCCCACACCCATGCCTGCGCCCACACCCATGCCCGCGACTGTGTCCTCTGTGTCCATATCCACCTCCATGTCCTCCTCACCCCCCATCTCCCCACCCCCGATCTCCCCACCCCCCATCTCCCCACCCACCATCCCCTCACCCCCCATCTCCCCACCCCCCATCCCCTCACCCCCCATCTCCCCACCCCCCATCTCCCCACCCCCCATCTCCCCACCCCCCAAGTGCAAAGCGCACTCACCAATCCCCCAATGTGCACATCTGCAGCCAATGCAGCCTCTGCCACCCTCCCTCTCTCCATCCCTCCCCTCTCCCTTCCCCATCCCCCCCCCCTGCTGCGCCCCACCTCCCTGCCCTGCCAGCCTCTGGCCACAGAAGGGGGCGCTTGCAAGGGATGGGGCTGGGGGGGCGGAGGGAGGGGGGGGAAGGGGGGAGGAGGAAGGGGGAGGAGGGGGTGGGGGAGGAGATGGTGGGGGAGAGGCAGGTGGGGGGGGAGGAGGGGGAGGGGAAGACGCGGGTGGGAAGCGGGCAAGGGATGCAGCAGGAGAGGGGGGGAGGCACGTGGGTGCGTGAGGCAGGGTGCTGGCCTGCAGAGAGGAAAGGGTGGTGGTGGAAGTTGCAGGGCAGGTGGCATCTGGTGCAGGGTGGAACGACGCTGGGGAAAGAGGCGGCAGGGGGTGAGAAGGAGGGGGGTGAGGAGACATGTGGAGGGAGGATGGTGGCTCAGGTGGTGCCACAGAGGGTGCCTGGTTGGGCGAGGCGTCCACATGAGGCGTGGGATGCTGTGTGGCATCTGCAGCGGTGCAGAGATCAGCCGCGCCGTGTGCTGCAGTGAGAGCGGGCTGTTCGCCCCAGGGGCTAGCGGGCACGGCCACGGTGCTCACGCTCCACACGGGCCGGCCTGCACGGCGCCATGAGAGCGGCAGAGAGGAGGTCAGGACCGAGGGCAAGGACGAGGCGAGGGAGGAGGGAATGGAAGAGGGAGCAGGGTAGTGAGTGGGGGAAGCACGAGGAGCAGAGTGAGGCGGTGCCATGGGACAGAGGGAGGGAGGATCCTCGCCTGCACACTGGGTGGCCTCATGCTGCTGCTGCTGCTGCTCGTGATGATAATGATGCTCGTGATGTTCATGTTGCTGATACTCCAGTTGACACTGCACCTGCTGCTGCGACAGCGCGCACAGGGCGTTTGGGTGGGCACAAGAAGTGCCCCCAGCAAGGGCAGCAGGTGCCGCAGGAGACAGACGGGGGAAATGAGGGGGAAAGGAAGAGGCAGGGGGAGAGGCGGGGGAGGAGAGGGATGGCGAGGGGGTGCGTGCAGTGGGGCGGGTTCCACATGCCAGTTGCAGGTGAAGCGCGGGGCGCCAGAGGCCCGGGAAAGCCATGAAGGCGCATCTCTGTGCTGCCCTCGGCCCGTGTGCTCCGTGTGCTCCGTGTGCTCCGTGTGCTCCGTGTGCTCCGTGTGCTCCGTGTGCTGCTGCCACGCCTGCACCTGCATGTGCTGCTGCTGTGCCTCCTGCCCCTGCCCCTGCCCCTGCCCCTGCCACTGTGCTGCACACCCTCTTGCTGCCGCTTCCTCTGCTGCCGATGCCGCTGCTGCTGCTGCTGCTGCTGCTGCTGGCATGGGGGCTGCCTCAAGGGAATGTGGCGGTGCTGGGTCTGCAGCAGCAGCAGCAGCAGCGGGGGCAGCAGCGGCGGGTGCATCAGCAGTGATGATGCGCACGCTCCACTTGAGCTTGAACGGCGGGCGCGATGCGGGCACAGCAGGGAGAGGCGCGCATGCGGGAGGGAGAGGCGGGGCAGGAGAGGGCCAGGTGGCGGGAGGGAGGGTGGGAGGGTTGGGGAAAGAGGCGGTATGGGTGGGCGTAGAGGGGTGGGCGGGAGGCAGGAGGGGCATGGAGGGCAGGGGGGAAGGAGGTACAGGGGAGGACGCATGGGGTTGCATGAGAGTTGACCTTGTCACGAGCTGGGGTGACGATGAGAGGATGGGGGGGGGTGACGATGAGAGGATGGGGGGGGATGATGAGGAGAGCATAGGAGGCGATGGTGGCGAGAGATGGGCGGCAGGGTTTGGATGTGCGTGGGACGGAGGAGACGGTTGACACCTTGTCAGTGACTGCGGCTGTGCTGCTGATGGCCCAGCAGTGGCGCCACTAGTGCTGCCACCACCACCACCACCACCACCACCACCACCACCACCACCACCACCACCACCACCACCACCACCACCACCACCACCACCACCACCACCACCACCACCACCACCACCACCACCACCACCACCACCACCACACCCAGCACCAACAGCAGCAGCAGCAGCAGCATTAACAGGTGGTGCTACAAGGCCCTGATTTAGGACGCTCACAACTGGCCGGTGTAGCTCTGGTTGCTGCTGCACCTGAAGCTCTGGTTGCTGCTGCACTTGAAGCTCGCTATCCACAACCGACCTTCCCATCTGCTCCCTCGCAACCCCTCGCTCCTCTGTGCCCTCTCGCTCTCTTCTAACCCCCTCCTTCTCCCTCTCCCCCTGTCCCTCCCCTGCGCCCTCTCTCCCCTTTGGTAGCGCCTCTGCTGCGGTGCAGCCTGCTTCTCCACTGGCGCCCACACCCTCCTCTTCTCTCTGCCCACCAGCCTCACCAACACCATGCGCCCCACCCTGCACCCCACCCTGCACCCCACCCTGCGCTCCACCCTGCCCGGCCTGGGTTTCCGTCCCACCCTGCCTGTCCGCCTGCTCTGCCTGCACTGCCTGCTGCTGCAGCTGCTGCCAGCGTCTCAGCCTCTCCTGTGCCTTGGCTGCTCCCCCTCGCACCCTCCTCCCCTTTGCCTGCACCACATTTCCCTCCGCCTCGCCATGCTTCCCATTCTCTCCTGCCCCTTCTCCTTGAGCTGCCATCTCAGCCACTCCTTGCCCCTGCTCCTCCCTCTCCAAAGCATCTCTGCTCTCCCCGTCCACCTCCTCCCTCTTCCCCCCTCGCAGCGCACATGACTTCTCCCCCTCGCTCTGTGCCTTGCTCGCCCCTCCTTGCGTCTCGCCCTGCTGCCCCTCCTCTGCTTGCCTCGTCGCCCCTTCCACCAACCGTGCATCCTGTGCCGCCGCCCCCTTCGCTGCCACACCTCCCTTCGCTGCCACACCTCCCTTCGCTGCCACACCTCCCTTCGCTGCCACACCTCCCTTCGCTGCCACACCTCCCTTCGCTGCCACACCCTCCTGCGCCTCCCTCCATCCGCCCCCTTCACGGCCCTCAGAGGCCGTCGTCGCCTCGCCATGCGTCCGGCTCGCTGCATCCATGCCTGCATCCATGCCTGCAACCATGCCTGCATCCATGCCTGCAACCATGCCTGCATCCATGCCTGCGTCCTTCTCCCTCCCCCCCGCCATCTCCACCCTTTCCTCCTTCACGCACTGCTGCTGCTGCTGTGCCTGCTGCCGCCACTCCTGCTTCTCCGCCTCCGCTTCGCTCTGCTGCCCCACCCCTTGCTGCTGCTGCTGCCACCGCGCCCCTTGCTTCTCCTGCGCCTTCCCCTGCTGCTGCACGTGGCTCGGGCAGCGCTGCCAGCTGTGCTCGCACGCGGCCATGCCGTCCTTGCTCAACGTGCGCATCACGGGCGCTCGCCCATCCCCATGATCGTGGCCCACATGCGGCTGTGGCAAAGCATGCGTCATGTTAGCCATGCTAAATCCTCCCTGCTCCATGTCAGTCATGCTATACTCCCCCCCCTTCGCATCAGCCGCATTCCCTGCCCTCTGTTGCGTGTCAACACTACCACCGGGTACCGGCTGCTGTTCAGCCGTATCAGCAGCTGTCGGCTTCCAGACAACAGCTGCTGGTTTCATGTCAACAGATGCTGGTTTCATGTCAACAGATGCTGATTTCATGTCAACAGCTGCTGGTTTCATGTCAACAGATGCTGATTTCATGTCAACAGCTGTTGGCTTCATGTCAACAGCTGCCAGTTTCATGTCAACAGCTGTCGGTTTCATATCCGCGGCTGTAGGTTTCATGTCAACAGCTGCTGGTTTCATGTCAACAGCTGTTGGTTTCATGTTAGTCAACTCATTTGAAACCAGATTCGTCAAGTCTGGTTTCATGTCAGTCAAACCTAGCCCCATGCTAGTCAGCTCCAGTGTCATCTCAGTCGAATTCGGCGACAGGTCCATGCTGTAACTGGTGTCAGTTGTGTTATGAGCGGTGTCGGTGGTGTTATGAGCGGTATTAGTAGTGTTAAAAGCGGTGTCAGTGGCGTTGTTAGCAGTGTGAGAAACCTGCACTGAGTCTGGTCCATGAGAGGGTATTTCCTCTGCCTCTACACCTCCCGCCATCACGTTTCCACCACGAGCCCCATGCCACCCACCGTGCTCTATAGCCCATGGCCCTGCTGCCTGCGTGTACCCCATCCCTCTGCCTGCTGCTGCCACTGCTGCTCCATCTCCATAAATGCATGTATCGTATGGCTGCTGCTGCTGCTGTTGCTGCTGCTGCTGCTGCTGCACTGCTGCCTGCTGCACTGACCGCATGCCATACGCCATGCCATATGCGGCAAGCCCTTGTGCCCCTTGCATAAACCCGAATCCTCCCACTCTCTCCCCCCACCGCACTCCCCCATCCCACATCATTCCACCACTGTTCAGTGCTCGTAATGTTGCCTCGCCACCTCCCATGCCCGCACCTCCAATGCCTGCACCAGCCATGCCTGCACCAGCCATGCCCGCACCAGCCATGCCTGCACCAGCCATGCCTGCACCAGCCATGCCCGTACCAGCCATGTCAGCAGCATGCGGTGCGGCGCCTGCGTGCATGTGCTCATGTGCGGGGATCTCCCGCACCACCCACTTGAACAGCGGCCGTGGCGCCATGGGTGCCGCGGCAGTCTTCACTCCTTCCCACTCACGTACCGCAGCCAACCCACCTAAACCGCTCGCCCATGCTGCTGCTGTTGCTGTCCTGCTCTCTACAGCAGCGTCACCTGTACCACCTGCGCCACCTGCACCGGTGCCTGCTACCACACCCCCCTCAGCATGCTCCCCTACACCCCGTGCCCCTGCCCCCTCCGTGCCTGCCCTCCACTCCCCTGCCATGCCCTGCTCTCCCCGCCTCTCACTGGGCACCTCTGCTCCCACCCCACTGCACCCAGGCTCAACAGCAGCTGCAGTGGCGGCAAAAGGGAGGGTGATAGAGCCAGGCGAGGGATCCATGGCATGAGTGGCGTTTGATGATGCACCATGCCACGTGGCATGCGATCCATCACATGCTGCGCCTGATGCTGCATGTGCCGCCACTCCATGCCATGTGCTGCCCCCACTGCCTGCTGCACATGCTGTGAGCACGGCAGCAGGGGGGGAGCGTGGCGGGTGGTCTGCAGCACAGGGCACTGCTGCAGCTGCTGCTGACCCCTCCGTCCTCTGCCCAGCTTCCCCGCTCGCTGTGCCAGCCGCATCAGCAGCAGCAGCAGCAGAAGAAGAAGATACAGAGGCGCATGGTGCAAGCAGTTGAGCAGCTGGAAACCCACCACACCCTGGAACGTGCCTCCCCACTCCATCCCCACCCACCTTGCCCTCCCCTTCCTTCTCCCCTTCCATCTCTGCTTCCTTCCCTCCCTTCTCCCCTCCCTTCTCCCCTCCCTTCTCCCCTCCCTTCTCCCCTCCCTTCTCCCCTCCCTTCTCCCTTTCCTTCTCCCCTCCCTTCTCTCCTTCCTTCTCTGCTCCCACGCTCCTCCACGCGTGCCTCCTCTTTGGCCCCTTGGAAGCAGCAGCATCAACGGGTGCAGGGCACGGAGCAGGGGCAGGAAAGGTCGGGCTGTGAGGCGGGGAGGCATGCTGAGAGGTGAGGTGAGAGGTGAGGTGAGAGGTGAGGTGAGAGGTGAGGTGAGAGGTGAGGTGAGAGGTGAGGTGAGAGGGGGAGGAGAGCTTGTGAGAGGGGGATGGGGGAGAGGGTGACGAAGCAGCAGCAGGTGTCGGGTCATGGGAGGGTTGTGAGGGAGGAAGGGCGGAGGGAGAGGAGGGAGGGCAGGCGAGGGGTTGAGTGGCATGTGGCACGGCGGAGGAGGCGGGCACGGGAGGAGCAGGCGGGGCAGAGGGGGCAGCAGACGCCGGGACAGCAGGCAGTTGGCAAGGGGCGGAAGCCTTGGCAGCCGCAGTGGCAGCGGCAGCAGCGGCGGTGGCTTGGGAGACAGCGTGGGAGAGGGCGAGGCCGATCCGCCGCTGCATCATCTGCTGCACCGCCGCTGCTGCTGCCGCCGTGGTGGCGGCAGAGAAGTGCGAGGGGTGCGCAGAGGGGGGGAGGGAGGGCGATGCAGCGAGAGGTGGGGCTTCAGCTGGCACTCCATGGGGATGGGCACATGGCGTGGATGGGGATGGGTTGGCAGCACTAGTGTCACTGGCAGCAGCACTGCTGCCATTGGTAGCTGCAGCACCATCGCCATCCCCATCACCACCAGAATCACCAGCCGCAGCAGCAGCAACAGTCACAGCAGCACCAGCACCAGCACCAGCACCAGCACCAGCAGCACCAGCACCAGCACCAGCACCAGCAGCAACAGCAGCAGCAGGTGCAGCAGGGGCCCTGTGTGCTGCTTCTCCTGCGTCTCCACCCCCCTGGGGTAGACCCCCAGGCCCTGCCATTGCTGCTGCCGCTGCCACGGCTGCCGCTGCTGCAGGCGACTGCTGCTGCAGCAGCAGCAGGGAGGCTGGGTCTTGAGCGAGGGCGAGGCGCAGAGGCAGGGGCAGGGAGTAGTGGAAGGGGAAGTGGCACGCCAGCGGCAGCAGGTGGCACAGATTGGGGGGGACGTTCAAGCCCATGCCCATGCCCATGCCCATACCCATGCCCATGCCCAGCCCCAGATTCCCCCCCATACCCAGGTTCATGCCTATCGGCAGCGACTGCAGGTGCGGCAATGAGTGCAAGTGTGGCAGCGACTGCAGGTGGCGCAGCGTGTGCGCCAGGAAGGGCATGCTGGCGGCAGCTGCAGCAGCAGCAGCAGCAGCAGCGGAGGAATCAGCCGCAGCAGAGGGGGGAGCAGTCAGAGGCGAAGGAGCGGGAGCCGAGGCAGAGGCAGAGGGGTCGACTGCGGTCGTGGCTGTGGCTGAAGAGGGGTCGGGGGGAGAAGAGGCAGACGAACCAGCAGCAGCAGCAGCAGCAGCAGCAGCAGCGACAGAATCTGCAAGGGAGGAAGTGTGTCGGTGGGGAGGCTGTGAAGCTGCTGCTGGGCTTCTGGCAACTGCTGCTGCTGCCGCCGCCGCTGCTGCAGCCACAGCGGCTGCTGCAGACGCGGCAGCATGTGCCACGGCTGCATTCCCCCCCTCCCCTGCTGCTGCACCTGCCACCTCTGCTGCACCTGCCATCCTGCCATGCATGCGCCTGCCCTTGCCAGCCCTGTGCCCCCTGCCCTCCCTGCCCTCCCACGCGCGCCCACGCCCCTCGCCCGGCCCACAGCCGCGGTCGCCCGAGCGGGAGAGGTGTGCGGCGCGGCGGCGCGGGTGGAGGGGCGGCAGGCCCCAGAGGGCAGAGAGGGCGGCGCTGAGGCGCTGCACCTCCGCGTCCCGGTGGCGGCGCAGACGACCGATGAGCGCCGAGAAGCTGCAGGGGGGGCATTGGGGCATGGGGGGCATGGGGGGCATTGGGGCATTGGGACATGTGGGGCATGGGAAGAAGCAGCAGCATGGCACATGGGACACACAAGAGAATAGTGTTGAGTGGGTGTGGACGGGAAGGGAATTGCTGGTGGGGCAACTCCAGAATGGGCGCACATCACAGAAGCCTAATCCGTCCATGCAGCAAGGGAGAGCGACAAGGGATGAGGAGCGGCATGGGGAAGCAAAGGAACCACGGATGGGGCGATCGCGCATGGCATGGGGTCAATCGCACGTGGCATCGGCGCGGGCCCAACTCGCTCAGCATAAGAACAAGGTTGGCAGTGGGTGGGTAGGCATGCGCACCTCTCGTTGGCGGTGGGCGGGATGGCATGTGCGGCCTGCAGGGAGAGAGCGGCAGTGGCGTGCAGGTGGTGCGCCACGCGCAGCAGCTTCCTCAGGATGGCCACGCGCTCCCTCTCGTGCTGCAGCTTGCGCCCCAGAATCTGCAGCACGTTCAGCCCTGGGGGGGTTGGAGGGGATGGACGGGCAGGGAAGGAGAGGGTTCGGCAAGGGGTGAGAGATGAGCGCAGAGGAGACAGGCAGGAAGGGAGCGAGATGTGCAGCAGAAGGTGACTTTTGAGTCGACTCAGAAGTCACCTCGAGATGTGCAGCAGACGGCTGCATGAAAGAGAACGAGCTGAGGCCTGCGAGAGCTGGTGATGGGCGCATGAATGAGTTGCCCCACCGCTCGTGCCACTGCACCCACCGTTGGTGCCACTGCACCCACCGTTGGTGCCACTGCACCCACCGTTGGTGGCGATGATGTGTTTGAGCAGCGTCCTCGACGACGTGCGCAGCAGCGCCTCCAGCAGCAGCGACACCTCCTTTGCACTGCATGGGTTGCGCGGCACATGCCATGCCATGCCATGCCACAACATGACATGCCATACAATCCATCACAAGGACATCCAAGCCATGCATTAGCATGCAATGATGGTTGCAGTGCAGTGGAGAGGTGAGCACCATGCGACGAGAGGCATGGCATGTACACGACCTATCTCAAATGGCATAGGCATGTGCCTTAGGCTGAGTGAGAGAGCAAGCAGACAACAATACGCGGCCATGGCTTCCGTGGCAATGCAGCAACAACCCCCCCCCCACCTGAAGTTGGGGACACCAGAGGAGAAGTCACCGCAGGAGGTGGCGCGCATCAGCAGCCGCACAAACGACCGCGCCGTGCTCTGGTGGTCGTGGGAGGGGGGGGGGGGGGGGGGGGTCAGGGGGACAAGGGAGGCGAGACGTGGGGGGATGAGATTGAGAGAGAAACGGGAGACAGCTTTGTATGGCGAAGCTGCTGTGCATGAATCATGTAAAGCATACCGGCTTGCTGCAGTGCGCGAGTCTGGTGCACAGCGTGAGACATGCAACATGCAAGGCTTGGCGCCTTGGACAAGAGACTGGGGGTGAGAGAGGAAGAGGAGAGTATGAGCGCGTCCGAGAGAGGGCGTACCTTGCCCTTGATGAGCGCGCGCGAGAGAGGGCGTACCTTGCCCTTGATGAGCGCGCGCAAGAGAGGGCGTACCTTGCCCTTGATGAGCGCGCGCGAGAGAGGGCGTACCTTGCCCTTGATGAGCGCGCGCGAGAGAGGGCGTACCTTGCCCTTGATGAGCGTGTGCGAGAGAGGGCGTACCTTGCCCTTAATGAGCGCGTCGTTGCCGTCCAGCAGCAGCTCCAACGCCTCCTCCACTGCCAGCACGCACACGGGGAAATGAGTGAGGCATGGATGCATGGCGCATGACAAACCACGAGCATTATGAGAAAGGGCATGTATGGGGCATGTATGGGGCATGTATGGGGCATGTGTGGGGCATGTATGGGGCATGTATGGGGCATGTATGGGGCATGTATGGGCCATGTATGGGGCATGTATGGGGCATGTATGGGGCATGTATGGGGCATGTATGGGGCATGTATGGGACATGTATGGGGCATGTATGGGGCATGTATGGGGCATGTATGGGGCATGTATGGGGCATGTATGGGGCATGTATGGGGCATGTATGGGGCATGTATGGGGCATGTATGGGGCATGTATGGGGCATGTGTGGGGCATGTATGGGGCATGTATGGGGCATGTATGGGGCATGTATGGGGCATGTATGGGGCATGTATGGGGCATGTATGGGGCATGTATGGGGCATGTATGGGGCATGTATGGGGCATGTATGGGGCATGTATGGGGCATGTAGGGGGCATGTGTGGGGCATGTATGGGGCATGTATGGGGCATGTATGGGGCATGTATGGGCCATGTATGGGGCATGTATGGGGCATGTATGGGGCATGTATGGGGCATGTATGGGGCATGTATGGGGCATGTATGGGCATGTATGGGGCATGTATGGGGCACGTATGGGCCATGTATGGGGCATGTATGGGGCATGTATGGGGCATGTATGGGGCATGTATGGGGCATGTATGGGGCATGTATGGGGCATGTAGGGGGCATGTGTGGGGCATGTATGGGGCATGTATGGGGCATGTATGGGGCATGTATGGGGCATGTATGGGGCATGTATGGGGCATGTATGGGGCATGTATGGGGCATGTATGGGGCATGTATGGGGCATGTGTGGGGCATGTATGGGGCATGTATGGGGCATGTATGGGGCACGTATGGGCCATGTATGGGGCATGTATGGGGCATGTATGGGGCATGTATGGGGCATGTATGGGGCATGTATGGGGCATGTATGGGGCATGTAGGGGGCATGTGTGGGGCATGTATGGGGCATGTATGGGGCATGTATGGGGCATGTATGGGCCATGTATGGGGCATGTATGGGGCATGTATGGGGCATGTATGGGGCATGTATGGGGCATGTATGGGGCGTGTATGGGGCGTGGCATGACACAAGGTGACTATGGTGTGGTCGACACGTGCACACACACAGTCACAACCACTCGCACACAAGTCGCCCCTCTCACCATCGGAGTGAAAGAGCACCCCCTGGCATGCCGCCGCCACATACTCTGCTGCCGCCGCCTGCACCTCACCCGCCCCCGCCCCCGACCCTGCAGCATCCGCCATGGGGTCAAACCCATGCGCCCCGCTCTCCTCACCACCCCATGCATCCCTGCCCCCCTCTTCCCTGTCCCCGCCCCCCTCTCCCCCGTGCCTCCACCCCCTCCTCTCCCCCACTGCACTCGCCAGTTTCCTCAGCCTCCGCCTCTTTGCCCCCCTCTGCCCCCCCTCCCCATCCTCCACACACGCCTCCCCTTCCCCCTCCCCCTCCCCATAGCCCTCCTCCAGCCACTCCTCCCCCTCCCGCCCCTCCGCCTCCCCCTGCTGCATCCCCCGTCCCTGTGCTGCCCCCCGCCCTACCGCCACCCCGTGCACACCCCCCCCCTCTCCCCCTGCTCCTGCCACCGCCTCGAGAGAGCTTGGGCGGGCAGAGGCAGAGGAGGGGGGGCGCGCGTGGGAGGAGGTAGGGGGGCGCGGGGAGGAGAGGAGCCAGCGGGAGGGCGCAGAGCGGTGGGACCTGGGGTGGGTGGCAGCGGGCCGTGACCGCGCCCTCTTGCCCTCCCACGCTAGACCCACTCCCCACGCCCTCCGCGAATCGCTCGCCTGCTCTCCTTCTGCTCCATGTGCCCCCTCCCCCCCCATATGTGTGGCATCCCGCCTGCTCCCACCCACTGCATCGTGACCGTACCCACACTGCTCCTCCGCTCCCTCCTCCTCACTCCCCTCCTCTGAGCCATACACCTCCTCCCACTCACTCTCACTCCCAGACCCGCTCTCACTCCCACCCTCACTCTCACTCTCATCCTCACTCTCACTCTCTGAGTCTTCATCCTCCTCCACCTCACACTCCCTCCCCAACCCACTCCCCCCTCGTTCGCCAGCCCCACGCCTGCCCGCCGCTCCCCCCCGGTATCCCACGCTCTTCTCGCCACTGCCTGCTGCCCATCCCTCTCCTCCCCCACTCCCTCTCCCACTTCTTCCTCTTCCTCCTCTTCCTCTTCCTCCTCCGCCTCCTCCTCCTCCACGGCACGCCGCACGGCGGGGCGCACTCTTGGCTTCTTAAGCTCAGCGCCGCCCAGCACGCCGCGGCACGCCTGGCTGCCGCAGTAGCAGCGCGTGGGGCGCGCGCCCACAAAGCGCTCGTAGTTGTAGTCGAACGACAGCTCCTCGCCCTGGGGTGAGGGGCGGGGGACAGATTGAGGGGGGAGGGAGGGAGGTGGGGGATGAAGGAGAGTGAGAAGCAAAGGGCGCCACAGGATGAGGAAGTGGAAGGGACGAGGAGCGGCAGGGGAGAAAGCAATACACAAGTAACGCAGGGGAAGGGGTAAGGAGGAGGCGTCTCACCGCCTTGATGGGGCGCAGGGAGAAGAGCCCTATCCGCAGCTCGCCCCGCACCATCCACTGCCGTGGCGCACAGCAGCAAGGGGGGCACCGAACGGGTGATACGGACAAGAGAAGGCGGTGGGGAGGGGAGAGGAGAGGAGAGGGCAAGCGTAATGAGGATGAGAATGGGGATGATAGGCGCACAGACGTGGACAACGGAGAGACGATTCTTTAGGCGCCTCAAATATAGGCACACAGATGTGGACAACGGAGAGATGCGATGGACAACAGGCACGTAGCCAGCCACTCACTCCCTCCCCCCACGCATTTTCATCTCAGCCCAGCAAGTCCCCTGCTCGCACCTTCTCTCGCCAGTCCCCTCCTCGCACGCACCTTCTCGAGGCAGCAGTTGGGCTCGCAGCTGTGGTTGAGGAAGCGCGAGAAGTTGCCCTTGCGGCACGCGTCGATCACCTGGGGGGCGGACGCAGGGAGGAAGAGGAACAGAGCACAAGGGCGAGTGGGTGGAAAGAGGGGTATGTGTGGGGCCAGCGGCGGATGTGCGTGTAGCGAAGGAGAGTGCAGGGGCAGGGAGTGGCGCATGAGCAGCCGGCAGCACCTCGCTGTTGTTGAGCGTCATGAAGTAGTAGTGGCGCTGCTTGGCGCGCCTGTACTCCTCCAGGCGCACGGCGAACGCCTTGCGGTTGAGCACCTCGCCCACGTACTCCACTATGAACTGCCCCGCCGCCACGCCCTGCCGCGCGCGCACGCCGTACCCCTTGCGCCCGTACCGCGCTATCTCCACCTTCACGTACCGCCGCTGCTGGAACTGCAACGGGCAGCAGACGCGTTGGGGAATACGGGGCGAGGAAGGGGAGAGAGCGGCAGGGGGCATGCAGCGAACGAGGGGGGTTGGTGAGATAGCCTTTGAGCCGGCTCAAAAGCATGCCGTACCCCTTGTGCCCATACCACGCTGTCTCCACCTTTACGTAGCGTCGCTGCTGGAACTGCGGGCTCCAGTGGTAGGGGCGGGGATGAGAGGCGGGGGAGATGGGAGAGCAGCAGGGGGCACGCAGCAAACGAGAGGGATTGTTGAGAGGGCAGGGGGCAGGGGGCAGGGGGCAGGGGGCAGGGGGCAGGGGGCAGGGGGCAGGGGGCAGGGGGCAGGGGGCAGGGGGCAGGGGGCAAGGGGCAGGGGCAGGGGCAAGGGGGAGGGGAGAGAGGGGGGGGGAGGGCAGGAGAAAGGGGGGAATGTGGCAAACGAGAGGGGTTGGTGAGGACTGGGGCGGATGGTGGTGTGAGGCATGGCGTGGGTGGTGGTGTGAGCACCACACTGCACGGCACTGCACCGCATGAGACCGCTCACCTGCTGGTTGGCGCAGGCGGCGCCGCAGGGGCAGAGCTTGGGGTCGCACTCGATGCTGACGAGGCGGTTCAGACACGCGTCCCCGCACCCCGTCACGCGGCGCCCGGGGGGCGGCGGCACGCACTGACACACGAGGACCTGCGGGGGGTGGGGGGGTGGGGGGGGGGTGGGAAGTGAAAAGAGAGAGGCTGTGAACGGGAGAGAGCTTGCTGTCGTGCTGAACAAGAGAGCTCGTGCGGTTGATGAAAGGAAAGGCCATGGCTCTCGCGCCATGTGCTTGTGCCTCGTTTGTGACCTTCACTTCTGTCTACTCGAACCTCTACTTCTCCCCCCTATGTGAGTCTGCTTCATCCTTTCCTCCCCGCTCTGCCTCATCGTTCCCCCCCCCCCCCCCCACCTCGTCCGTGCGCTGCAGCTTGGGGCGGCGGTGCAGGTACTCGTTCTCCACTATGCGGATCCACGCGCGCTTGCCCGTGCCTGCACCACCCGCCCACCCGCCCGCGCAAGACACACACACGCACGAAGCTTAGGCGATCATTCAAGGCTTACGGGCGGATGGGGGAAACGGAAAGGAGGAATGCAGGCGAGGAAGACGGGGAGGCGCGGCAGTGTGGATGGCACGCGCGAGCACAGCGACTGGAAGACTCACCAACGAGGCGGGGGGGAGGCACGGTGGGCTTGCCCATTCCCCCCATCACCGCGCCCCAGCTTCCGCCGCCACTCACCCCTCCCCGCCCCCCCCCCGCCTTCCCTCGCCCTGACATGCCTCCGCCAAGCCTGCCGCCCCCGCTGCTCCCCCACTGCCACCACGGCACCGCCCCTCCGCGCCCCCCCTGCCCGCTGTCCGCGCCCCGCCACGGCGCGCACTGCGCGTGGTCGTCCCCCGCGTCCGCGTCGTCCGCGTCGTCGTCGGAGTCGGAGAACTGGATCGCGACGCTCCCGTCGCCGTCGCTGCACTCGCTGCTGCACGCGCTCCCGCTGCTCCACTCCGCCACCTCCCCCCCTCGCCCCCCGCTTCTTCCCCGTGCCCCCTCCCCTCCCCCCCACCCTGCACTTTCCCCGCGCCCACTTCCCTCTCACTCCTGCTGTTATTCCCCCCCGCGACGCTCTCCTCCCGCGTGTCCTGCTCCGCTTCGTCGTCGTCGTCGGCGTCGTCGTTGTCGTTCGCGTCGTCGCTCTCCTGCGGCACGCGACAGCTGGCGAAGGCGGGGTCAGGATTCATGCGACAGAACCTGCGACAAGGCGGGAGCCGGCGGTGAATCGGGAGTAACGACGCGGGAGAGTGGGGCAGGAGGGGGGGGCAAGAGGGGGGCAGGGGGGGGGCAAGAGGGGGGCAAGAGGGGGGCAGAGGGGGGGGGGCAAGAGGGCGGCAAGAGGGGACGAGCAGGGTAAGCGGCGAAACAATTGGGACGGTAGGTGCAGGAAAGAGTCGCAGCGGGTATTTTAGGGTTCGCCGACGATCCGTCACAGAATGCAGGATGACGTCACAGAATTGGAAGACAGAAAGAATGCTGGGGAATATAATTCGTCAAATGGATGAAATGCGGCAAGCCGCCTCTACAAGTATGACAGTGGCGTGCAGGCCGCGGGCAGGAAGGATGGGACGGAGTGCGTGGAGGGATGGAGCACGAAACCCTAACAGGGGCGATAACAGGAGAGGAGGACGGGAAGAGAGGACGCGGCGAGTGGGACGAGGCCGGCGAGGTTCGACGAGAGGACGTTCCTCGGATGAGGTGGCTCGCGCAGCAAAGTCGGACGATCGATTAACCGAGCACTAACTACCCCAATTCGCGAAACTAACCATCTGGCGTCGCTGCTGCTCATGGCTCGCGCAATCTGCGCCGGCACGCGGCGCCACTTCTTGCACTTGGCGTCGTCGCATTGGACCCACGCCGTCCGCACCACCCGCGACACGCGCTTCTTCTTCTCCCGGCTGCTCGCCTCCCTCCCATCTCCCGCCCGCACTGCCTCGCCGCTCCTCCACCCGTTCACGCGGCGATCCTCCCTGCTGTCCCTTGCGTCGCCTAATCCCATTCCGCGCGACTCCCTCTGCGGCGTGCGACCTACTGCGACCACCCTACGACTCGACAATTCCCCGCCTCGACCACTCATGTTCCCTCCCCCGCTCGCGCCTGTCGCGCCTGCCATGCGTGGTTGCTGCGACGGCCTGACTGATAGATACGTCGCGACCAGCGGAAGCTGCGGTGGGGGGAAATAAGAGCAGCACGCGGCTGGTCTCTTTATTCGTTAGGTCAAGTTAGGAGCAAGAACGGACCCTGACATATCATAACCGAACCTCGGGCTGGTCTGATCACCCTCACCCGTTTCTCACACCACCCTCGAGTCACAACACAACAGACCAGACTCCACCTCACCCCCCGAACCTGCAATCAAGCAAAAACCCAAAAAAGACTCACTGGTCTGCTTTCTCACAACCAAGCCAACCTCGCCGCGCTGTACCTGACCTGACCAAACCGAGATCCCTGACCGCCTGTGCCCTGGGATTTCCGTGGTGCCCTCGGTCAAACGCGTTCCCGCCCGCCCGCGGTGCAAACCCCAATGCCAGGGCAACTCCCAACCAAGCTGACGCACCCTTCTGCGGAAGATCTGGTGCGCGCAAAACTGAGCGGAGGAAGCGCACTGTTCATCTGGAGTCTCGGCGGAAAACGTTAGGCAAGGCGGGAGCTCCGCTTCGACTAGCCAGATCCAGGAGGAGCTAGCCCCGCCCCGCCAGCCTGTCGTCGAGTGCATTAACTTGGAACATTCCCCCTCCCGAGGGCGACAGCTAAACCGTAGGATCTGGCTGGACTCGTATCGGAGGGTAAGGAGAGAGTGGCGGAAGGCAACGGGAGAAAGTGCTGCCGCGGTGACATGGCAGTCGAGTCACACCAACCACCTCGCGCCACCTCCGTCCCCTTGACGGCCGCCTCTGCCTTCCACACAAACAGCAGGCGCTCCAGGCCTCAATATAAACAAATGTTCACAAAGCAAACCAGAATATAAGCCCTTACAGTTGATTATTGATTTACCACCTTTTTTGGGGGCCATGAACACCACTAATGCATGTTCCTCCCCTATCTCCTTGTGAACTCTCTAGTTTGAATACCCCTGTTTCAATTATTCTGCCTTGACATCTTTCAAGATGACAACAATCGAAAAAGAGGCCTATAAAGGACTCAAAGCTGGGGTCTCAAATATCCTATCATGAGAGCCCTGTTGGCATGTGCCCATTTGCATGGGAGCTTGGAGGAGCCAACAGCACTCTAACCAATGCAATTAACCTTCTAGCACCCACTGTTGCAAGCACTGATCTGACTCTGCACATGGAGATTCTGATCGCTGAAAGAAACACAAGTTGCTTTCAGAACTGCCGGAATAATGAATTGTCGACAAATGAGCCGCTCAGGCTGTGACTGGCTCTGCGCGCTTGCTTGAGGAGCTACCAGTGGTGGGCTGTGAGGGCGCTGAGAGCTCGTCCATCTTCGCCAGCATGTCCATCACCGCCTCCGCTGGCCAGAACCCCTCCGCCTGGTGGGGGGGTGTGACATGCAGGGGGGGGAGTGACGCCCAGGGAAAGGCGTGATCAAGGAAAGGCAATAAGAGAAGCGTGCAGCGGGCAGATAGCCGTGTTGAAGGGGCACAGCGAAAAGGGCAGGCATCAACCCCACAGCAATCAGCAGGATTGATCATTCCTGAGGGAATTACCTGGCGTTTGGAGTCGGTCCCTGAGAGAATGAAGCGGATGGCGAAGGCTGCTCCACTGGGCCTCCCTCCCATCTGCACACGTCGCACCACAGCCAAAGCCTCGTGAATTCGTATAAGATCTGTCACCCACATGCCACATGCTACAGCATCCAAGTTCCACGCACACACTTCATGCCTAGGCCACAGTGAATGGAGGGACGCCATGCGATGATGCCGTGATGGCATGATGCTGTGATGGCATGATGGCATGATGGCATGATGGCATGACGGCATGATGGCATGATGGCATGATGGCATGATGCCGTGATGGCATGACGGCATGATGGCATGATGGCATGATGGCATGATGGCATGACGGCATGATGGCATGATGGCATGATGGCATGATGGCATGATGGCATGATGGCATGATGGCATGATGGCATGACGGCGACGCCATGACAGCAGCGACTCTGCGCAGGGGTTTACAAAATATGCTCTCTTATGAGGCGTCTACCAGCTCAGGGGAGTGGGAGGAAGCGCATGGAAGCAGAGCAGAGCAAGGAGCGCGTTGTGAAAGAAGGGCCCATGGCGTACCTTGAGAAACCGCTGCAGCGTGGGCAGTGTTTGGCGCGCCACCACACACTCCATCCATAGATTGCCCCGCTCCACCTGGTGGCGGGAAGGAACCATGCCATGCACATACGGGATCAACGACATGCGGCGCCCGAGAGAGCAAGAGCCAAGGTTGCAGCAGGATCAGGCAGGCGATCAGGAAACATCGTGGCTCCTGCAAAAGACTAGACGATTCATTCACTTGCATCAATCTCTGTTGTACGGAATTGCTCATGATTTCCCTTGCCACCTCACCGATATGACAGAGACTGTCTCGCCATGTCATCTCACCTGCACCGCCTTGTCATCTCACCTGCATGACGATGTCGTCTCGGTTGAGCACGCCGTCCTGGTCCATCGTGATGAGCCCCTTCCGCAGCATCTGCACCAGCTTGCAGAAGTCGTTGAACTCCGACGCCGTCAGCGCCACGCTCCACCCGCCCGCGCCCACCTGCCAGTCATACCCACCCGCGCACGGGTTGCGCGGGGAGGAGAGGGGCGGGGGGAGTGCGCGGGCATGAGGGGGAAGGCGGTGAGCGGATCGCAGGAGGGATGGAGGGAGCATGCTGGGTAGAGGCGGTGAAGAATGGGACAAAACGCGAGAATCCCGGCGCGTGACGAGAGATCCGCCAGGTGTGAGAAGCAAGCCGTGGTGGCGCACGCCCCTCCACGAGGGCGCGCATGCCGCCATGCTCGTCCGCTCAACAACCCCGCTCACCATGGCGCAGAAGCCGCAAAGCGCGCCTATGGGCTCACCATGGCGCAGAAGGCCTCCTCGTTGGCGGGCGCGGTCTCGTAGCCCAGGCGCCACCCCGACCCCTCCAGCACGCGGAACTCCGCCACCGGCACCGCGCTGTCGTAGAAACAGCCTGGCCGGGGGGGGCGGGGGGGATAGAGGCATCGGCGCGTGGCACATAGGGCGTTGAACGCACGGAATTGAACCGACTTGAGTGAGCTCATACGGGGTACGTTCCAGCCCGATAGGGGTTTGGCTAGATGCTGACGAGCCCTGCCGCCCCCCCCCCCCGCTCCCTCCAGCACGCGGAACTCCGCGAGGGGCACCGCGCTGTCGTGGAAACACCCTGGCGGGGGGCGAGGGGAGAACGGCGACTTTGTAGGCCCCTCGAAGCCTGCGTGATAGAAGTCTAGTTTCGAGGCTACTAGAAACTGAACTCCGCCAGGGGCGCCACGCTATCGTAGAAACACCCTGGCGCGGGAAGAGGGGAGAACGGCGTCGCCGCGCCACGCCACGCCACGCACGCGAGCAGAAGGAAATCGCGAGCGATAAAAGGGGGGAGGGCGAAGGGAGAGACAGCAGGGGAGATGAGAGAAAGAATGGAGCAGGGAGAAAAGACGAGAACCATACGGTGCCGTGATTGGCCTTGCCGACAAGAATCGTGCATAGGGTGTTCAACGGACGCAATTGAACTGACGATCATACGGGGTACGTTCGAGCTTAGAAGGGGTTTAGCTGGATGTCGACGAAATCATCGGCGGCCAAACGGCAGAGGGCAATCTAGATGGATTAATTTCGATCCTAGCTCCACCGTCTGTCTCCGCTGCGATGGCCCGTCCAAGATCGCGCAGTCTCCTTGACACGTGGCACTGTCACGTTACATCGCGCGCACCTGTGAGGTTACATTGCAGGTAGCCCTGCGAGTCGTCGTCGAGAGTCGGCACGTTCCGTCCGACGACGAGCACACAGCCGCTCTCGTCGCACTCCAGCTTGATCGCCATCTCCTCGTCGCCCGCCGCCTCCTCCTCCCCCGCATCCCCCACCATCACGCGCTCCCCATACTCCCCTATCGGCCCACGCGCGGCTTTTTCCGCTTGCGCGCGCACGGATCGATCACGTCCGCCCACGTTGCACTTCAGAACTGGCCATTGCTGGGCAGCAGGCGCGCCAATTGGCCTGGTCGCGGACCACGGCGAGGCGACGGACGACGCCGCGTGTGGGAGAAGAAGCGACGGTGACGTGGCAGTCTGCATGGTATCTGACGACGCTGAACGTAACAGATGTCCCGCAGATCACGCAGAGTCAGGCGCTAGAGCTACTGGCAACTAATGACAGGAGGAGGGATGATCTAGCAGCTAGGCAATCGGTTAGTGAAAATGGTCAGCAGCAAAGCAATTTCTGTCTGGACTCTGGAGGTGGCATCTTCTTACCAAGGATAAGGGAGGAATAAGAGGAGCAGCAAGAAGGGTTTGGGTGCGGTGGGATTGGGTTGGGAGGGTGTGTGATGTGGATAAGGGGAAGGAGGTGCCCCGCTGCTCCAACCAGCGGGGAACGGAGGCAAGTGGCTCAGCAGGCACTGGGCTGGGAAGCAGCCTGCCGCGGAAATGGAATCCGTAGTTATGCCGAACCACTCACGAAGCTGGGCTCACTGTATGTATTGCGGTTTCAGAAGAGGTTCGGTGTCTGCCGAACCAGGCTGGGAAGTTCCACCTTGGGGATGACGAAAGGTCGGCCGTGAGTCGATCAGTCAGTTCCAGCCTGAGACCCCACAGCCCTCCGTCGCACGTGGCGTCGATGCGATGACTAGATTTGAGCGGACGCCACTCTGGAGCTGAAAAGGATGAACAAGAAGGGCATCGGAACACGTCATTACGGCCACATAAGAGCCGCGTGACTGCAACAAAGCTGTGGGCGCTAACCTTCCCCAAAGGTCAGGAGAAAGGATGAGCAAAGTTACTAAGCAACCATAATGTCATTACAAGGCAAACATATATGGAAGCAATTATGAACTAGTAGAACAAGGATAACTAACTACCTTGGGATGACATCATACTAACAATATGATGTCCTGCAGTTTACCAAAAAACATTTTACTAATCCTTTTGCGTTAAACCGCCCCAAACAATGCATTCAGTGGAAGGAAACACATTATATGGTATGAGCAATTTGGCAAACGCCATTGCATCACTTTGTGGAGCATATTAAATCAAATATGGAAAATAAATGAACATTACTGTGTACATTTCTTCCAAATAAACCAAAGTAATGGTTTTTAGTGGCTGGATGCACATACATTGATAAGGATGACTAGAAATGGTTGTCTTGAAATAATGGGTGAACAATTTGGTTATGCTGTATTTTTATGTTTTTATAAGAATAATTTGCGCATACACGGAGCAGTACGTGGCCTTCAATCCAGCGCAAATTCATTCGCTGACGCCACCTACAGAATCAGTGAGCGAGTGCCATGTGTTCACTGAGAAGGCAACGGCGACTCACAGCAGCCAGCCTCGTCACTTCAGCCCACGGGCAGGTGGGTTCGATTCGATGCCCTCGAGGAGGAGGCCCTCCGCAATTCTGGGGCAATCGAGACCTTCCGGAGGTGGAATCTGAGGGGACAAATCCCGAGGGGAGAAAACGAGGAGATGTACAAGTGGCTGTTCCTATAACGGGAGCACTCGCTGCACCACCACAAGCAAAACACTCACCTTGGTGTTCGGCGTGCTGCAGAGCTGAATACATTCCTTCCCACCTTCACCCATAGAAGCCGGGGGGAGCACCTAATTTCTGCATCTGTATTAGGTGCACTTTGTTTCGCTTCCTAGCATTCCGCACTTGATTCCTCGCGATCTGTGGGCATTCAAGCCACTCCCAGTTCCTGATCGCCTATCCGGTGTCATCTGACTCACGATGTCAGCCACCGCCATGTTAACATCCGCGACCCTCAACCCCCCCAACTGCGCGCAGTTATCCAGCCCGCAATCAGGCATCGCTGGCGAAGCGGCCCAACAGCTGCTGCTGCGCGTTCGCTTCAGAAGCGCAGCATGCGCGCGATCAGCCGTAGCGCGAGCGGGATCAGTGCGCGCGGCGGTAGAGGCGGTGCCGCCAGCGGAGACGCCATCGGCGCAGAAGAAGTCGATCCGGCCGGGCGAGAAGAAGGGGTTCATCGAGGAAATGCGCATCCGCGCCATGAAGCTGCACACCAAGTAGGGTCGCACACCAAGTAGGGTCGCACACCAAGTAGGGTCGCACACCAAGTAGGGTCGCACACCAAGTAGGGTCGCACACCAAGTAGGTCGCACACCAAGTAGGTCGCTCGCCAAGTAGGTCGCACACCGAGTAGGTTGCACGCCAAGTAGGTCACGCACCACGTGGATTGGCACACCAAGTACGACCGTCGATTAAAAAGCCTCGCACTTGGTAGGACGCACTCTTGGTTAGCTTCTCTTACGTCACACTTCACCAGCCGCTCACTCGGTCAGCCTCAGTCATTAAGCAAGCGGCGTGGCCATCTAGCTGCTACCTTCCGTTTCCTAGGCACCGGTGGCCACGCCGCGTCGCTCCCCACCCCCTCAACCGCGTGCTCCCCGCCCCACCCGCGGGGCCCGTTCCACCGGGCTGGCAGGGATCAAGCGAAGGAGGGCGAGGAGGAGACGAAGGAGCGGCCGCTGGCCAAGTGGGAGCCGACCAAGGAGGGGCTGGTGCAGTTCCTCGTCGACAGCAAGGCCGTCTTCGACGCCATGGAGACCATCGTGCGCGACGGCGACCTGCCCGTCTGTAAGCTCGCTTGCTTTCTTGCTTGCCCGTCTCTCTTGGTCCTCATGAGCTCACCACAGGCGCGGGGTTGGGCTGGGTTTTAATCCAAGTGGGAGTCGACCAAGGGGGGCTGGTGCAGCTTTTGAGTCGACTCAAAAGCGGGCTGGTGCGGATCCTGGTGGACAGCAAGGCCGTATTCGACGCCGTGGAGTCCATCGTGCGCGATGGGGACCTCCCTGTCTGTAAGCAAGCTTGATACGCCCTGTAAGCTCGCTTGAGACGCCCATGAAACTCGCTATATGCACGGGGTCTGGCTCCTGGTGGACAGCAAGGCCGTGTTTGACGCCATGGAGACCATTGTGCGCCACGGCGACCTGCCCGTCTGTGAGCAGCCACCTCCATGACGCCCCCTCACTCGTCGCTCGCCAGCCGCTCGTTCCTCATGCGCCTTCTGTAGCAACGTCTTCCCTCATGTCTCCTCCCTTCCCTTCCCTCCCCTTCCCTCCCCTTCCCTCCCCTTCCCTTCCCTTCCCTTCCCTTCCCTTCCCTTCCCTTCCCTTCCCTCCCCTTCCCTTCTCTTCCCTTCCCTTCCCTCCCCTTCCCTCCCCTTCCCTCCCCTTCCCTCCCCTTCCCTCCCCTTCCCTCCCCTTCCCTCCCCTTCCCTTCCCTTCCCTTCCCTCCCCTTCCCTTCCCTTCCCTTCCCTTCCCTTCCCTTCCCTCCCCTTCCCTTCCCTTCCCTTCCCTTCCCTCCCCTTCCCTTCCCTTCCCTTCCCTTCCCTTCCCTCCCTTCCCTTCCCTTCCCTTCCCTCCCCTTCCCTCCTTCCCTCCCCTTCCCTTCCCTTCCCTCCCTTCCCTCCCCTTCCCTCCCCTTCCCTTCCCTTCCCTTCCCTCCCCTTCCCTTCCCTTCCCTTCCCTTCCCTCCCTTCCCTTCCCTTCCCTTCCCTCCCCTTCCCTTCCCTTCCCTTCCCTTCCCTTCCCTCCCCTTCCCTTCCCTTCCCTTCCCTCCCCTCCCCTCCCCTTCCCTTCCCTTCCCTCCCCTTCCCTTCCCTCCCCTTCCCTTCCCTTCCCTCCCCTTCCCTCCCCTTCCCTTCCCTTCCCTCCCCTTCCCTCCCTTCCCTCCCCTTCCCTTCCCTCCCCTTCCTCCCTTCCCTTCCCTCCCCTTCCCTTCCCTTCCCTCCCCTTCCCTCCCCTTCCCTCCCCTTCCCTTCCCTTCCCTTCCCTCCCTTCCCTTCCCTTCCCTTCCCTCCCTTCCCTTCCCTTCCCTCCCCTTCCCCCCCTTCCCTCCCCCCCTCCCCCCCCCCCTTCCTCCCTTCCCTCCCCTTCCCTTCCCTTCCCTCCCCTTCCCTCCCTTCCCTCCCCCTCCCCTTCCCTTCCCTTCCCTCCCCTTCCCTTCCCTTCCCCCCCCCTCCCTTCCCTTCCCTTCCCTCCCCTTCCCTCCCCTTCCCTTCCCTTCCCTTCCCTTCCCCCCTTCCCTTCCCTTCCCTTCCCTCCCCTTCCCTTCCCTTCCCTCCCCTTCCCTTCCCTTCCCTTCCCTTCCCTCCCCTTCCCTTCCCTTCCCTCCTTCCCTTCCCTTCCCTTCCCTTCCCTTCCCTTCCCTTCCCTCCCTTCCCTTCCCTTCCCTCCCCTTCCCTTCCCTTCCCTTCCCTTCCCTTCCCTTCCCTTCCCTTCCCTTCCTCCCTCCCTTCCCTTCCCTTCCCTTCCCTCCCTTCCCTTCCCTTCCCTCCCCTTCCCTTCCCTTCCCTTCCCTTCCCTCCCCCTCCCTTCCCTTCCCCTTCCCTCCCTTCCCTTCCCTCCCCTTCCCTCCCCTTCCCTTCCCTTCCCTTCCCTTCCCTTCCCTTCCCTTCCCTCCCCTTCCCCCTTCCCTTCCCTTCCTCCCCTTCCCTCCCCTTCCCTTCCCTCCCCTTCCCTCCCCTTCCCTTCCCTTCCCTTCCCTTCCCTTCCCTCCCCTTCCCTCCCTTCCCCCCTTCCCTTCCCTCCCTTCCCTTCCCTTCCCTCCCCTTCCCTTCCCTTCCCTTCCCTCCCCTTCCCTTCCCTTCCCTTCCCTCCCCTTCCCTCCCTTCCTTCCCTTCCCTTCCCTTCCCTCCCCTTCCCTCCCCTTCCCTTCCCTTCCCTCCCCTTCCTTCCCTCCCTTCCCTTCCCTTCCCTCCCCTTCCCTTCCCTTCCCCTTCCCTTCCCTTCCCCCCTTCCCTTCCCTTCCCTCCCCTTCCCTTCCCTTCCCTCCCCTCCCTCCCCTTCCCTTCCCTTCCCTTCCCTTCCCTTCCCTTCCCTTCCCTTCCCTCCCCTTCCCTTCCCTTCCCTTCCCTTCCCTTCCCTCCCCTTCCCTTCCCTTCCCTTCCCTTCCCTCCCTTCCCTTCCTTCCCTTCCCTCCCCTTCCCCCCTCCTTCCCTTCCCTTCCCTCCCCCCTTCCCTCCCTTCCCTCCCTTCCCCTTCCCTTCCCTTCCCCCTTCCCTTCCCTTCCCTTCCTCCCTTCCCTCCCCTTCCCTTCCCTTCCCCCCTTCCCTCCCTTCCCCTTCCCTCCCCTTCCCTCCCTTCCCTCCCTTCCCTTCCCTCCCCTTCCCTTCCCTTCCCTTCCCTCCCTTCCTTCCCCTTCCCTTCCCTCCCTTCCCTTCCCTTCCCTCCCCTTCCCCCCTTCCCTTCCCTTCCCTTCCCCTTCCCCCTTCCCTTCCCTTCCCTTTCCCTTCCCTTCCCTTCCCTTCCCTCTCCCTTCCCTTCCTTCCCCTTCCCTTCCCCCTTCCCTTCCCTTCCCTCCCCTTCCCTCCCCTTCCCTTCCCTTCCCTTCCCTTCCCCTTCCCTTCCCTTCCCTTCCCCTTCCCTCCCCTTCCCTTCCCTCCCCTTCCCCTCCCTTCCCCTTCCTCCCTTCCCCTTCCCTTCCCTTCCCCCCTTCCCTCTCCCTTCCCTCCCCTTCCCTTCCCTTCCCTTCCCTTCCCTTCCTCCCCTTCCCTTCCCTTCCCTTCCCTTCCCCTTCCCTTCCCTTCCCTCCCTTCCCTCCCCTTCCCCCTCCCTTCCCTTCCCTTCCCCTTCCCTTCCTCCCCTTCCCTTCCCTTCCCCTTCCCTTCCCTTCCCTTCCCTTCCCTTCCCTTCCCTTCCCTCCCCTTCCCTCCCCTTCCCTTCCCTTCCCTCCCCTTCCCCTCCCTTCCCTTCCCTTCCCTCCCCTTCCCTTCCCTTCCCTTCCCTTCCCTTCCCTCCCCTTCCCTTCCCTTCCCCTTCCCTTCCCTCCCTCCCTTCCCTCCCCTTCCCTCCCCTTCCCCCTTCCCTTCCCTCCCCCTTCCCTTCCCCTTCCCTTCCCTTCCCTTCCCTTCCCTCCCCTTCCCTCCCCTTCCCTTCCCTTCCCTTCCCCTTCCCTTCCCTTCCCTTCCCTCCCCTTCCCTTCCCTTCCCCTTCCCTTCCCTTCCCTCCCCTTCCCTTCCCTTCCCTTCCCTCCCCTTCCCTTCCCTTCCCTTCCTCCCTTCCCTTCCCTCCCCTTCCCTTCCCTTCCCTTCCCTTCCCTCCCCTTCCCTCCCTTCCCTTCCCTTCCCTCCCCTTCCCTCCCTTCCCTTCCCTCCTCCCCTTCCCTCCCTTCCCTCCCCTTCCCTTCCCTTCCCTTCCCTCCCTTCCCTCCCCTTCCCTTCCCTCCCCTTCCCTTCCCTTCCCTTCCCTCCCCTTCCCTTCCCTTCCCTTCCCTCCCCTTCCCTTCCCTCCCTCCCTTCCCTTCCTTCCCTTCCCCTCCTCCCTTCCCTTCCCTCCCCTTCCCTTCCCTCCCCTTCCCTTCCCTTCCCTCCCCTTCCCTTCCCTTCCCTTCCCTTCCCCTTCCCTTCCCTCCCCTTCCCTTCCCTTCCCTCCCCTTCCCTTCCCTTCCCTCCCCTTCCCTCCCTTCCCTCCCCTTCCCTCCCCTTCCTTCCCTTCCCTTCCCTTCCCTCCCCTCCCCTTCCCTTCCCTTCCCTCCCCTTCCCTTCCCTTCCCTTCCCTCCCCTTCCCTCCCCTTCCCTTCCCTTCCCCTTCCCTCCCTTCCCTTCCCTTCCCTTCCCTTCCCTTCCCCTTCCCTTCCCTTCCCTTCCTTCCCTTCCCTCCCCTTCCCTCCCTTCCCTTCCTTCCCTTCCCTCCCCTTCCCTTCCCTTCCCTTCCCTCCCTTCCCTTCCCTTCCCTTCCCTCCCCTTCCCTTCCCTTCCCTTCCCTCCCCTTCCCTCCCCTTCCCTTCCCTTCCCTCCTTCCCTTCCCCTTCCCTCCCCTTCCCTTCCCCTTCCCTTCCCTCCCCTTCCCTCCCTTCCCTTCCCCTTCCCTTCCCTCCCCTTCCCTCCCTTCCCTTCCCTTCCCTCCCTTCCCTTCCCTTCCCCTTCCCCTTCCCTTCCCTTCCCCTTCCCTTCCCTTCCCTCCCCTTCCCTTCCCTTCCCTTCCCTCCCCCCTTCCCTTCCCTTCCCTTCCCTCCCCTTCCCTTCCCTTCCCTCCCTTCCCTCCCTTCCCTTCCCTTCCTTCCCTCCCCTTCCCTCCCCCCCCCCCTTCCCCTTCCCTTCCCTCCCCTTCCCTCCCTTCCCTTCCCTTCCCTCCCCTTCCCTCCCCTTCCCTTCCCTTCCCTTCCCTTCCCTCCCCTTCCCTTCCCTCCCCTTCCCTTCCCCTTCCCTCCCCTTCCCTTCCCTTCCCCCCTCCCCTTCCCTCCCCTTCCCTTCCCTTCCCTCCCCTTCCCTTCCCTTCCCTTCCCCTTCCCTCCCCTTCCCTTCCCTTCCCTCCCTTCCCTTCCCTTCCCTTCCCTTCCCTTCCCTCCCCTTCCCTCCCTTCCCTTCCCTTCCCTTCCCTTCCCTCCCCCCCCTCCCTTCCCTCCCTCCCCTTCCCTTCCCTTCCCTTCCCTCCCCTTCCCTCCCCTTCCCTTCCCTTCCCTCCCCTTCCCTTCCCTTCCCTTCCCTTCCCTTTCCCTCCCCTTCCCTCCCTTCCCTTCCCTTTCCCTTCCCTTCCCTTCCCTTCCCTTCCCTCCCCTTCCCTTCCCTTCCCTCCCCTTCCCTCCCTTCCCTTCCCTCCCTCCCCCCTTCCCTCCCCTTCCCTTCCCTTCCCTCCCCTTCCCTCCCCTTCCCTTCCCTTCCCTTCCCTCCCCTTCCCTCCCTTCCCTTCCCTTCCCTCCCCTTCCCTCCCTTCCCTTCCCTTCCCTCCCCCTTCCCTCCCCTTCCCTCCCCCCCTTCCCTCCCTTCCCTCCCCTTCCCTTCCCTTCCCCTTCCCTCCCCTTCCCTCCCCCCTCCCTTCCCTTCCCTTCCCTCCCCTTCCCTCCCCTTCCCTTCCCTTCCCTTCCCTCCCCTTCCCTTCCCTTCCCTTCCCTCCCTTCCCTCCTTCCCTTCCCTTCCCTCCCTCCCTTCCCCTTCCCTCCCCTTCCCTTCCCTTCCCTTCCCTTCCCTTCCCTTCCCTTCCCTTCCCTCCCCTTCCCTTCCCTTCCCTCCCTTCCCTCCCCTTCCCTTCCCTTCCCTTCCCTTCCCTTCCCTTCCCTCCCCCTCCCCCCCCCTCCCCTTCCCTTCCCTTCCCTTCCCTTCCCTTCCCTCCCCTTCCCTCCCCTTCCCTTCCCTTCCCTCCCCTCCCCTTCCCTTCCCTTCCCTTCCCAACCCCTCCCCTCCCCTCCAGCCTCTCTCCCGCCTCACCCCCCCCGCGGACCGCAAGTTCGTGAGCATGGCGACGCGCTCGCTAAGGACCTTCTGAACCCTTCTCCTCCCGCCCCTCGCCCCTTTCTCTCCCCTCTCTCCTCCCCCCTGCAGACCGCAAGTTCGTGAACACGGGGTTGGAGCGCAGCGACGCGTTGGCGAAGGACCTGGCGTGGTTCGAGGCGCAGGGCTTCGCCATCCCGCCGCCCGACGAGGCTGGCTCCTCGTACGCCAAGTACCTCACCGACCTGGCGCGCACCGACACGCCCGCCTTCATCTGCCATTTCTACAACGTCTACTTCGCGCACTCCGCCGGCGGGCGCATGATCGGCCGCAAGGTGAGGCGCATGGTTGGTTGACCGCAAGGTGGGGTGCGTGATACCTGGTTGCTTCCAGGGTAGATTGCACGTCACGTGGAGAAGAGTGCGAGGCGTTAGGAGTATGATGGAAGGCTCGGGGCGGGTAGCACGACGCAGGCTGCGGTGGAGATGGGGTCTTGAGAAAGAGGAGGCGGGCGTAGGGTGGAGTGTGAAGGGGCATAGTGATTAGTGCTGCTATCAGTACACGTTCCTTTCCGGCAGGGTGATTTTTTTTCACCCTGCTCCCCCGCTCACACCCCACCCCATTCCCCCTGGCACCCCTCCCTCTCACCATTGCCCCCCACAATTCCTTCTCTCACACGCTGCTTGCGCCCCAGGTGTCGGAGATGCTGCTGGAGGGGCGCGACATGGCGTTCAATTAGTGCGACTTACCCCTCCTCGCCCCTCTCACACCCGTCTTCCCTCCCTCACCCCTTGCCCGCCACCCCTCGCTCGGCGCAGGTGTCGGAGATGCTGCTGGAGGGGCGCGAGATGGCGTTCTACCAGTGGGAGGGCGAGCTGCAGGACCTGCTGGCGGCTGTCAGGGAGAAGCTCAACGAGGTGTCGGAGGTGAGGCCGTCCAGGGGAGGTGGGGGGGTTATGGGAGGTGCTTGCAGGTGAGTGGCTGAGCGGGCTGTCGGAGGCGAGGCCGTCCAGGGGAGGGGCTGGACGGGGTGCCGGAGGTAAGGGGGGTTAAGGGGAGGTGTGGCTGTGAGGATAAAGCTGAACGAGCTGTCAGGGGTAAGAGGGTGAAGGGCTGGCAGACGGGTGCATGGGAGGTAGGGGATGCGAGGGTTCAGGGAAGGTAGGGGGGTTCAGGGAAGGTAGGGGGGTTCAGGGCAGGTAGGGGGGTTCCGGGGAGGTAGGGGGGTTCAGGGGAGGTAGGGGGGTTCAGGGGAGGTAGGGGGGTTCAGGGGAGGTAGGGGGGGTTCAGGGGAGGTAGGGGGGTTCAGGGGAGGTAGGGGGGTTCAGGGGAGGTAGGGGGGGTTCAGGGGAGGTAGGAGGGTTCAGGAGAGGTAGGGGGGTTCAGGGGAGGTAGGGGGGGTTCAGGGGAGGTAGGGGGTTTCAGGGGAGGTAGGGGGGGTTCAGGGGAGGTAGGGGGGTTCAGGGCAGGTAGGGGGAGTTCAGGGGAGGTAGGGGGGTTCAGGGGAGGTAGGGGGGGTTCAGGGGAGGTAGGGGGGTTCAGGGCAGGTAGGGGGAGTTCAGGGGAGGTAGGGGGGTTCAGGGGAGGTAGGGGGGGTTCAGGGGAGGTAGGGGGTTTCAGAGGAGGTAGGGGGGGTTCAGGGGAGGCAGGGGGGTTCAGGGGAGGCAGGGGGGTTCAGGGGAGGTAGAGGAGGGAGGGTCATGGGTGGGAGAGGTTTCTTTGGGAGGGTTGGATTCATGGTTGGAGGGTAGAGTGGTGGGGGGAGAGGGGTGTGACATGGAGAGAAGGACTTCGAAATGGGTAGGTGTAGTTGTTGGAGTGCGAGAGATGTGGGGATGGGAGGGGTCCATCCAGAGGATCTCAGAAGGGCAGTGGGAGCAGGAGCATGCATGCGTCTAGCATGGGAAACGGTTCATGTCAGCATGGCTATTGATGTCATATTGTGGAACAGCTCTGGAGTGGGCCGGTAGTCCCGCCATTTAGGAGTTGGTCGGTTTTCTAGTGTGTGCTGCTGCCATGTGTGGGAACGGCGGGCTTGTACCATGTTCATGTCCTGTGAGTGTGCATGTGCTGCTGCCTTTTCATCACCAACGGCCAAATAACGCGTGTGTGTGTGCTGTGCACTCTGCAGGATTGGACAAGGGAGCAGAAGGACCACTGCTTGGACGAGACAGAGAAGTCCTTCAAATATTCTGGCCAATTGCTGCGTCTTCTCATCTCCTAGACTCTGCTGTAGTGCCACAATACCAATTGCAGACGTAGTACCAAATATTGCTAGAACTGATCCAGCCAGCCATAATCTTCTTGAGCTGTTTCTTCTACTGGGCTAGAGCAGCTTCTACATGATCATGTACAGTTGACATTATGACAACATCACTACGTGCTTCCAGTTCTTTGGCGAAAATCTACTCAGAAAGATGTTAGAGCCCTGGCGTTGGTAGCCAAATGCAGCTTGGAGCTGAAAGGCCCAGGTGAAGTGAATGTAAAGCTAGCGGGTAGCAACCATTGTGATGTGATAAAGTCAAATCAAGATTTTGGAGGGAGATACCGCACTCGGACGACTTGAAATTCGGTGTAGACTCCACTACATTCTGATCTTTCGGTCTTTTCTGTTTCACGGCTACGGCGCCTGCGCAAATTCGAAATGCAGGATCCCGCCCTTCTTCCCTGTCTCAAGGCATCGATCTCGATTCGCATTTGATCGGACGGTACAAGTTTCCCTATCGGTAATTTGTGCGTCTCGCACCCTGAATTTCAAGTCAGCGCAATTGGTGGAGGGCGGGCTGAGCAGGAGCGGTGTGAAGGCTTCTGCGATGTGCGACGGGTGGCTGCGCGAAAAGGAATTTTGCCGAGGAGGCTCGGCAACTCCCAGCCGAGCCCATTTGGCTCGGTTCGGACTCTCGTTGTTGGGAAAACCACAGCCGCAGCCATTCCCCCAAACCCACACATAGCCAAGAGCCCATCTGTTTCCACCTCTTCCCTCCCTCGATAACTCCCACTTATACCCCCTCTGCTTCTCCCGCAGCAATCAACCACTCATGAGCACAACACGCTGCCGCCTATAGCGGATAGGGTTTTGCTATTGTGACCAACCGATTTTAGTACCTCAGAGCATTCGAGGACCACTGCTCGTTCGTTGATCGTGAATATGATGCACCTTGAGCCCCGAGGGTTGGGGTTCCAAACCTTCGCCCGATTCGAGGGGAAGGAGAACGTGATGGAGGAGGCGGACGCTCAATGGCCGCTTCCTGTAAGTACGCAGCTAATGGCGTCTTATCTCGGCAACAATATCTCTCTGTTGAACACCGCTTGCCAAGATCCCGCTGGTGTCTTGGCGAACAAGCGGCTGAAAAACTCGCCGCCCACCACGCCGCGATCGCCGCTGCTTCTCGCGAGAAGCTGCGAAGACGTCGAGCTGGACGATGACGATTGGACGTTGGGCGCCTGCAGCACGCCCGGCGAGTCGCGGTCTCTCACAGGGGCCTATGATTTAAACGCCGGTGCTATCGGCCAGCCAACAGCCAAGGATCAGCCACGCGTATTTGGTGTTCGTTCCCTCAACACCGAGCGCTGCGACATAGGCGCTAGGACCTCGCTCAGCCGATTAGCGTCCGCGTGCGCTGCCCTCTGCGACGTGGCGACCACGTGCGATAGGTCAGAGGACGAGACGGAACTGTCGCAAGGAGGCTACGCCGAAGAGCAGCAAATTTGTCTGGATAATGATTGGCCCGACCACAGAGACAATTCTCGTCCGATTAACGTTGAAGCGCGCCGAGCGCTCGTCGAGCGGCGTCAAGAGGGGGCAGACGACGACGAGGGGAGCGAGGACGAGGAGGAGGAGGACTGGCACGCGTGGAGGATGCCACTCGCTGCGACCATGAGAGCCGCGTCTGCGCCGACGGGCTCTGCGATCGGCGGAACCTTGTCGCGCGTCGCCTGTCGCAGTCGCATTAGGAGCATGCGAAGCTCGGGCTGGGCGTCGGACGGCGAGGAATCGGACGACGACGGCGACTGGAGTGCGACGGTGGCACATGACGACTGGGCGTTGGTGCGACGGCGACTCTCTTTCGCCGAGCCCGAGTCGGTGGGCGACGAGGCTGCGACTACATTCAGGCCGGAGGCGGGGATTGCGGAGCACGGGGCAGGGATGTGTCCCAGTGGCGCAGTGAGCGACCTTCTCGCCGCATTCGCTCGCACGTGCACCATCGCCGCCGCTGGCCCCGCCCCAACAGCCACGTGTCCAGCCAGCGCTGCGTCGCCAGAAGCGTCGCACGACATGGAACCGTCGCACGGCATGGACGTCGCATTTGCGCCAAGAGCGCTGAAATGCGCCACATGGGGGTGCGGATGGAAGAGCAGGGGGGAGCGGGGGTTGGGGGGCGCATCGTGGCGGGTGCGGACGTGCGGGGTAGGGGGCATGGGGGGAGGCGGGGCGGCAATGAAAGGGGGGAAGGGCAGGGCAGAGAAAAGGGGGAGGGAGAGTGATAGCGATGGCGACGAGGAGAGTGAGGAGCAGAGCGGTAGTGGCGGTGATGGCAGCTCCGGGAGCGGTGGCGATGGGGATGAGGAGGAGGGAGAGGAGGAGGAGGAGGAGGAGGAGGAGGAGGAGGAGGAGGAGGAGGAGGAGGAGGAGGCGGAGGAGGGAGAGGAGGATGAGGAGGAGGAAGAGGAGGAAGAAGCGGAGGAGGGAGAGGAGGACGAGGAGGAGGGAGAGGAGGAAGAAGCGGAGGAGGGAGAGGATGAGGAGGGAGAAGAAGGAGAAGAGGAGGAGGACGAGTGGGAGGAGGGTGGCGAGGAGCGAAAGGAAGCACGTGAAGAGGACGAAATGACGCTGGTAAATCCAGACAAGCCACGGCAGCAGCAGCACGAGCAGCAGCAGCAGCAGCAGCAGCAGCAGTACAGTGAGAAGCGGCTGTACGTGGGCGGCATACCGTACCACGCCACGGACGACGACATCCACGCGTGCTTCGAGGGGTGCGGCCGCATCGCCCTCATTGACCGCCTGCACTTCCCCGACTCGGGCCGATTCCGAGGAATTGCGCTCATCACCTTCAAGGTATGCGCTCTCACACTTCCCCCTCCGCCCGTGCCTGCACTCTGCCCTTGCCCCCCCCTCTCCCCCCCCCCCCACCCCGATTTCGAGCTCAAGCTGTTTCTGCACGCAGTCCTCTCCCTGGCGGCTCTGCTGCTGCTCCCACTCATCCTCCTCCCCTCTTCCGTGCGACTGCTGCTACTTGGCTGTGCCTCTGCATGCGTGTGCGTGCGTGTGTGCGTGTGCGTGCATGTGTGTGTGGTGTGGACGTGTCGTTCTTCTGGCTGTGCAGACTGCCATCGGAGCAAGAAAGGCGCTGGAAATGGATGGCGCTGACATGTAAGCCTCCTCACTGCCGCACACAGAAGGACACAGCACCGCACACACCACCGCGCACACCACCGCGCACACCACCGCATGCTAGTCCTGCACCACGCGATCACTCTTCTTCACCATGTGCTCTCGTCGCTGCTTCTTGACACGACCTGTGATTCCCTTTCCACCTGCACCTGCACCTGCACGTGCTCGCCCATGCCTATGCCGCGCCTCATCCCCCCTTCCGCCTTCCTCACCCCGCTTTCCTCTCCCCCTCCCTCCCCCACTCTTCTCTTCTCTCCAGGGACGGCCGTTTTCTCCGCATCAAGCTGTGCCGACCCAACCCCTCATCCGCATCTTCAGCCGCCACTCCAGCCGCCCCCTCCTCCACTCACCCCGCCTCCACTGCCTCTGCACCGCGCCCAACTGCATCCGACCTGCCGCCCCCTCAGCGCGCCCCCGGCAGCCTGCGAGCATACGTGGGCAACCTAGCCTGGAGCATGGATGAGGCGGCTGTAGCGGCGTTCTTCCCCGGCTGTAGCATCGCGAGTGTGCGCCTGGCACGGGACGCGCAGACCGGGCGGCACAAGGGGTACGGCCACGTGGACTTTGCGGACGAGTCCAGCCTGGAGCAAGCCATTCAGCGCAACCAGCAGGTGGCGTGCGGGCGCCCGGTTAAGGTGGCGTATGCCGTGGCGAGCAGGGGGGGCGGTGGGGCTGCGGGGATTGCAGGTGCAGCAGGGGGAGGAGGGGGAGCAGGGGGGGCAGGGGGGGCAAGGGGAGCAGGGGAATGGGGTGGCGGACATGGGGGCAGGGGGGAGGGTGGAGATGCGGGGGAGAAGGGGGAAGCGGTGATGCGATGGAGCAGGAGCAGGAGGGGGTGGGGGGAGGAAGGGCAAGGGGCGGAAGAAGGGGTCGGAGGGGTGCTTTGTGTGCGGCGACGAGGGACACAAGTCGTTTGACTGCCCGGAGAAACACCGCAAGATGAAGAGGCACAAGAGCCAGTGAGGGGGAGGGGGCATGAGAGTCAGTGAGGGGGGGAAGCAGAAGAGCAATGAAGGGCGGCGCATGGGTTGCAATGCAAGCACTTTCATGCTAGTAGGTTGGGATTCCATCATGGGCAGGTGGCTGTCTTCAGAGCTTCTGTAGTGGATACCACCTGCAGCCATCTCTTCGTAGGCACTGTAGTTATTCCCTCGGACCTTACAATGGCAATTTCTTCAGCCAAATGATTCAAGGACATCACATATTCTAGCAAATATTCAAAACACACCAGTCTCATCCCAAATACTTCAATGAGCTAGTGTCTGCTGTAGATATCTTACTAGATTGTTTTAGTGTAACAGCACACACGCACACTACATTAGCATGATTTAGTTTTTGTTTTTCAGTGTGGGCAGCACTGTAGCTTTGAACCAGGCGACCCCAAACAGCCCTCCAGGGCTCTTGGGCAGGTCCACATCAGCAATGAAGGCGTCCAGCTGAGAGAGGGGCAGCCCCACCACGTCGATAGCCTGCTAGGGGGACAAGGGGAGGGAGGGGGGGGAAGGTGATGCAAGAGATGTGGGGGGGGAGGGAGCTGATGCAAATGATGTGGGGGGGGAGGGAGGTGATGCAAATGATGTGGGGGGGGAGGGAGGTGATGCAAATGATGTGGTTGGGGAGGGACATCATGTGGGAAGCGACGCAATAAAGGCGCCCAGCTGGGCCAGGGGCAGCCCCACCACGTCGATGGCCTGATTGGGAGGTGAAGGGGGGAGGGTGGGAAGGGGGAGGCAACGAGTAAGGGGGCTGGGGGAATGGCGTTGGAGGGTGCCTGGGGCAAGTGATGCAGGGAAGGCATCCAGCTGGCCCAGGGGCAGCCCCACAACGTCTATGGCCTGATGGGGGGGTTAAGGGGGAGGGGGGGGGGGGGGGGAAGGGAGGTGATGCAAGTGATTGGGGGGGAAGGTCGTGATGTGGCAAGCGACGCAAGAAAGGCGAACAGCTGAGAGAGGGGCAGCCCCACCACGTGTATGGCCTGATGGGGGGGTGGAGGGGGGAGGGGGGGAGGATACGACAGAGGGTACTGTACTGGGAGTGTGGCGTTGGAGGATCCCTGCCTGGGGCAAGTGATGCAGGGGAAGGCGTCCAGCTGGGCCAGGGGGGAGCCCCACCACGTCGATGGGGCGGGGGGAGGAGGGGGAGGGGAGGCAGTGAAAGGGGTTATGACCATAATAAAACTCGCTAAACAAGGGTGAAAGGGGCGGGGATGCGCTGGCAGAGGGCAGATTCGCTTTTGATTCGACTCAAGAGGTCAGAGGAGTGAGTGAGCAGGAGAACGGGTGAGAGAGGGCGATGGGGCAGCAAGGACAGCGAACAGCGCAGTTGCATTCGTGCTAAAGCCCTACCATACCCCTCCCCCTCCCCTGACCGCCTCTCACCTCGCCCTCGTCCTCCTTGCCTCCCCCAGCGTGAATCCTCTGACCCTCGTTCACCTGCCAGCACCACAGCATGCAACATGCAGCACAGGCAGCACAGGCAGCACAGGCAGCACAGGCAGCACAGGCAGCACAGGCAGCACAGGCAGCACAGGCAGCACAGGCAGCAAGGAGTGAGCAACACTGGCCTCCAGGCACTGCATGGGCCGTGGAGGGAAAAGGCTGTTGGGCCCGGCATTCAAGCCGCAGCTGGCCTGCGCGTAAAAGAGCGTTTGCCTTATAGAGAGCGGCGTGTGCAGAATAGAGGAGCGTGTCGCCAACCTGCGCGTAGAACAGCGTCTGCCTGGCCCACGGACGTGAGGGCCGCCATCCCCACATGCAGGGGCCCTGAGGCACCACATGCAGGGGCCCTGAGGCACCACATGCAGGGGCCCTGAGGCACCACATGCAGGGGCCCTGAGGCACCACATGCAGGGGCCCTGAGGCACCACATGCAGGGGCCCTGACAATCAGGGCCTGAGGCACCACATGCAGGGGCCCTGAGGCACCACATGCAGGGGCCCTGAGGCACCACATGCAGGGGCCCTGAGGCACCACATGCAGGGGCCCTGAGGCACCACATGCAGGGGCCCTGAGGCACCACATGCAGGGGCCCTGAGGCACCACATGCAGGGGCCCTGAGGCACCACATGCAGGGGCCCTGAGGCACCACATGCAGGGGCCCTGAGGCACCACATGCAGGGGCCCTGAGGCACCACATGCAGGGGCCCACATTCCACCATACTAGGTGCGCACGTGCAGCCTGGCAGCACGCAGCGCTCACCTGCGCGTAGAACAGCGTCTGCTTGGCGCCTGATATCCCCACGGACGTGAGAGCGGCCGTCACCACTTGCAGGGAGTCCAAGGGCACGTCGTACCCCGTCTCCTCTGCTATCTCCTCCTGGGGGGTGGGGGGTGGTGTGATGTGGTGTGTGGTGTATGATACACATGCTTCAAGGCGCCCCAACACAAGATGACAAAGGTACAACGTACCCCGTGACCCCGTCTCCTCCGCTACTTCATGTAAAAAAGGGCGATAGGCCACATAGCGGTGATACCTATCGTCTGCATCACATAACGGTGTTACCTATCGTCTGCATCACATAACGGTGTTACCTATCGTCTGCATCACAGTGACAGGGGGGGCTCGCTCCTCCTCTCCTCATACCTCCCATATGCGCTGCCCCTTCCCTCACCTCTCCCAGCTCTCCTCGCCCATCCCATCCTTCCCGCGCTAACCCTCCCCCCTGCCCCTCCCCCTCTCACCTTGGCGATTTGCCGGAGGTCTTTGCCCGGCTTGTCCACCAGCCCTGGGTGCGCAGAGAGGCGCAGGGCAGGGCAGTAGAGTATATTTTGAGGCGCCTCAAAAGCAGGGCAGTAGAGGCGAGGAACAGAATGAGGGCTTTGCAAGGGTGCCGGCCGGCACGCGAATAGGGGGAATGGATGGGGAGCAACCGGAGTGGGATAAGGGAGATGGGGAGGAGGGGAGAGGGGGGGGGGGGGGGGAAGGCATAATGGCTCAGGGAAAGCATAGTGGCCCAGGAAACCATAGTGACATCGTGGCTCATGGGATATGTGGGCGTGGGATATGTGGGCATTGGGTTCGGTTGGTCTTGGGATCGGTTGACCTTGGAGTTGGTTGACCTTGGAGTTGGTTGGGCTTGGAGTTGGTTGGGCTTGGAGTTGGTTGGGCTTGGAGTTGGTTGGGCTTGGAGTTGGTTGACCTTGGAGTTGGTTGAGCTTGGAGTCGGTTGGGCATGGGACTGGTTGGGTTTGGACCGGTTGGGCTGGGGATTGGTTGGGCTGAAGTTTGGTTGGTCTTGGGATCGGCTGGGCTTGGGATTGGTTGGGCGCAGGATCAGTTGGGTGTGAGATGGGTTGGGTTGGGTTTGGAATCAACAGGGCTTGGGATAGGTTGGGCGCAGGATCGGTTGGCTGTGGGTTTGGTTGGGCTTGCCTTGGGATCGGTTGGGCTTGAGATTGGTTGTCCGAGGGATTGGTTGGGATTGGGATTGGGATCGGGAATGTCCCCCGGAAAGCATAGAGTCTCGGGAAAGCATTGTGTCCCGGAAAAGCTTAGAGTCGTGTCCCGGAAAAGCTTAGATTCGTGTCCCGGGGAAGCATAGTGTCCTGGGAAAGCGCGAAATGCCATGACACATGCGCTCTCACCTGCGCACAGCTCTCACCTGCGCACAGCTCTCACCTGCGCACAGCTCGTAGGTGAAGGCGGCATCAAGGTCCCCTGTTAACTGCACGCCCTCCTCTCCCCCCCTTATGTCCGCCCCTGTTGCCGCTGCCACTGCTGCGAGCACTGTGGGGCGGAACTGACGCACCTGCCAGGGGAAAGATTGGGGGGGCGAGACACAGGGGGGAGTGATTGGCACAGGACGCATGTGTGGTATGCCATGAGCACAGCGTTGCGGAAATGGCACGTACCATGTTGAGGAGGTTGAGCTCTGAGTCAACTCAAGAGGGAGGGTGGTGGCACAGAGTGCATGTATGGCGCGTGGCATGCCATGAGCACACCACAGCGGTCTGGGAATCAAGGTGATTCTTGAGTCGACTCAAAAGTTGAATCGCCTCAAAAGTCGAATCGCACGCACCATGATGAGCAGGTGGAGCTCTGCCCGTTGCAGCATCGACGCATGCGATTCCCACCATAGCCGGTCAAGTGCGAGCATTGGCCATGGGGCGGCCGGTCATGGGGAAAGGAGGGAAGGGGAGTCGCAGAGGGATGGATGGATGCGAGAGGTGGAACAGGCAGAAGAGATGTAGGGTGAATAGATACAGGACGCAGCTGGTGAGGAGGTGGCATGTCCTCAGGAAAAGTCAGCAAAATGACTTTGTCGCGTGCATGCATGCAGCAGAATGACGCACGTTGAAAACTAAAACATATGACTCGGTTGGCGCCATGGTGTGCACCTGTGTGGAAGAGCAGCACAGCGACGGACGGATGAGATTGCACCATGTCCCATCGACGGTCCTGATGCAATGCAGCCAACAAGGGGGAAAGGGGAGTTCAGATCAGCCCAGGCAGCTCAGCAGCGGCGCGAGGAAGGAGTGAGTCGGACGGCCACACCGTGCATCGCTTCTCTAGTAGCTTACAGGGTACTAGTGCGCTGTGCACCACCCTAAGTACCTTGCCGTGCTGCTTGTATCGAATGCTTTGCGGTCGGATGTATCGAGAAGGACCCTCCAGAGGCACCACCCGCAGCTGCAAGGGGTGAACCAGCCATGCACCATGCACCATGCACCATGCACCATGCACCATGCACCATGCACCATGCACCATGCACCATGCACCATGCATCATGCATCATGCATGCACGTGTGTAGGGAGAGGGAAGAGGAAGGGGGGTGACAGGGGAAGGGGAAAGGGGAAAGGGGAAAGGGGAAAGGGGAAAGGTGAAAGGTGAAAGGGGAAAGGTGAAAGGGGAAAGGGTGGGGAATGAGCACGAGGCAGCAAGGAGAGGCGTTTAATGGCTCAACGGCTCACACGATCACAGTCAACACACTCTCCCCCCCTTCACCCTGTGGCCACCCATCCCCCCTCATCGCCATTCTCCCCCCCCTTCCCCTCTGTCTTCCCCTCCCCTTTCCCCCTCTCTCCCCCCACGCACATCTTGGATGGCGGCCTTCCGCTGCGCCAACCCCTGCCCCATCAGCTCCACGAACTGCACTGCGGGGGGGAAGAGGGGGAAGGCGGGGGGAGATTGGGGGGGGGAGGGGGAGAAGAGGGCGACGACGCGACGTGGAGAGAATGATGCGGTGGAGGGCGGAGGGTCGGAGGGGCGGAGGGTCGGAGGGGCGGAGGGTCGGAGGGTCGGAGGGGGTTGACGCGCAATTATCCTGGTGAACGAGGTCGTTGTCCCAACCACGCTGATTAGCTGTCCGCGACTCACTGCCGCCTATCCGATCGCCGGCTGTCCCGCCAACATCCTGTCCGTCAAACAACGACCGACTTTGAAACGGCCGACAGAGAAACGAGCGTCAGAGAAACGGCCGCAAGACAAACAGTTGTCAGCAGCGGCTTGCCTTTTGACGGTGCTGTTGCGGCGACGGACGCCATCGCCACGCTCCGCACCTCGCGGCGAATGGAGGACAGACACGTGGCGCGTGGCGAGAGAAAGCGCGAGAGCAGCATTGATGCCCCCACGGGCGCGCAGAAAGTCATGGGGTGAGGCGGCGGTATGGTGGTGGCGAGGATCGACTCAAGGCTCCATAAAAATTAACCTCATATTAGCTGACTCGCCAGTGATTTTCATCAATGTCCGCTCTATCATATATGTACAAAACAAACATACACAAAGTCTCACTGAATAGCGATCGCTCTATCCACACACCCCTAAGCATCCACAGTACACCCTTTTGACTTTTCTCCTGTCATCAAACCAGCTGGAAAACAGCTCATTCATAACATTCTAAGCGGCACTCTTATCGGTGGGTGGGAAAATAGCAATCTCAGAGGGGTCGCGACGAGCCTTGTAGAACTTATCCTCAAGCGCCTCATCGACATTGAAGGCTGCCACAAGGACATCCTTGGGAATGCCCTTGAACACGGATGTAATACCCGCTAGGAACGATGGCGGGGAGATAGGGCGGTTGGCAATTGCAATCCACATCATTCCCTCCGCAGACGCCTCCTGGTGTGGCATGGGGAGGGGGGCATAGAAAATAGAGGGGAGTGAACGGAAGGACACATGGGAGGGAGCTGAAGTTTCAATGCTGGGTGTGAAATGGAGGGAGACTGGTGGAGGAAGATAAGGCATGGCAATGGAGAAGCAGCAAGAAGCTGGATGGGAGGTCACAGTGGGGGCACATGGTGAGAGGGGAGAGGTGAGGGGGGGGGGGGGGGGGTGGAAAGGGAGAAGGGAGAAGGGGGAAGGGGGAAGGGGGAAGGGGGAAGGGGGAAGGGAGAAGGGGGAAAGGCACGTACCATGGAGGAGGGGAAGAGTGCCAGCACGGCAATGACCTCTCCCGTATGCACGTCGCCGTGCAGAGCGGTTCAGAAACGAGAAGGCACGTACCATGGAGGAGGGGAAGAGCGCAGGCACAGCGATGACATCTCCCGTGTGCACATCGCGGTGCAGAGCGGTGCGGCCGTCGGGATACACCACCTCAATGCGGCCACTGCCCGCCAGCACCACATGCAGGATGGCCGCGTTGGGGTACCAGTGGGGGGCCAGCAGGGCGTTGGGCTGGAGGGATGGGGAAGGGGTTGAGGCATCAGCATGGAGCACAGGGCATGGCGCCAAGGCATGGAGCACAGGGCATGGCGCCAAGGCATGGAGCACAGGGCATGGCGCCAAGGCATGGAGCACAGGGCATGGCGCCAAGGCATGGAGCACAGGGCATGGCGCCAAGGCATGGAGCACAGGGCATGGCGCCAAGGCATGGAGCACAGGGCATGGCGCCAAGGCATGGAGCACAGGGCATGGCGCCAAGGCATGGAGCACAGGGCATGGCGCCAAGGCATGGAGCACAGGGATGGAACCGACATGGGAAATCACTATTCACCAAGCTACTCGCCAGTACAATGGCAGCAATAGCAAGTGCTGCTTGCAAGGGGAAAGGTGGGGAAGAGAAGAGCAAAGGCAGAGGCAGAGAGCCCACCTGCAGGTGGTAGAGGAAGGCAGACAGCCCAACGTGGTGCAGCACGGGCAGCTTGGAGCGGTCCACAGCGAAGATATCACCTCCCTTGGGCACCGCCATGTCAGGTGACGCCTGAGACAGGCTGTACTTGAAGCGGGTGAAGGGCGAGATGTCCCCCATGCGCATGTGCGCGAGCGCGTTGGGGTCCATCGCCTCCTCCGTGCCTGAAGCCTCGTCCTCTCCTGCCATCATCGCCTGCAGCTCCCCTGTGAGGCGCCGGGCGTTGTGCTGCGGTGGGGAGGGCAGAGGAGGGCAGAGGAGGGCAGAGGAGGGCAGACGGACAAGGAACACACACATGGTCCGTGCAAACGAGCGAGCGCTATCATCTGGACTGAGAGCACCTTCCCACATCCCCCCACCAGGCATCCCCAAATTTTGGGAAACGTCTGCAGCACCCAGAGTAGGAAGACTCAGATGCCCCACGGCACACTCAGATGCCCCACGGCACACTCAGATGCCCCACGGCACACTCACACGGCCCACAGCAACAAGCCCCACGTGCCTCTGCCCCACCACCACACGCCTCACTTCCTCACGTGACCCGACATACATGCATACATGCATGCATACATACTACATACATACACCACACCACCCAGAGCAACTATTACTCACATGCCCCACAGCTACGAACCCCACATGCTTCTGCCCCGCCACCACGCGCCTTGCTTCCTCCTCCTCCACATCCCACGCCCTCGCCAGGAGATCAGCGCTGCGAGGGGAGAGTAGAGAGAGGGGAACGTGCGGATGGAGAGGAGGAGGAGGAGAGAGAATGAGAGGCGAGGGGCGAGGGGAGGTGCGCGATGAGGGGAGACCAAGGGGAGACACGGCCGCAGAAAGAGGAGGGAGAGAAAAAGAGCTCTTCAACTGATGGCAGTGTGCCGCCCACCTGAAGCCATGCAGCAGCACACCCCCCAGCATCTCGCGCGGGCAGCTCATAAACGCGTGCACCTTGCCGGGCTGCTCTAACAACAGACGCAGAATGTTTCCCACCTGGAGCCCACCTGAAAACACCTGGAGCCCACCTGAAAAAACCTGGAACCCACCTGAAAACACCTGGAGCCCACCTGAAAACACCTGGAGCCCACCTGGAAACACCTGGAGCCCACCTGAAAACACCTGGAGCCCACCTGAAAACACCTTGAGCTCACGTGAAGCCCACCTGAAGCCCACCTGAAGCCGTGCAGAATGCCCCCCAGCGTCTCGTGCGGCCCTCCCATAAGGGTGAACGCATGCACCTCCCCTGGCTGTGCTGTGCCGCGCGTGTCGGAGAACAGTAGGGCTTTAAGAGGCTCCGACCCGTTGTTCCACGCCCAGCTGGCCCAGCCCCGGGGGATGGCCACGATGTCACCGTCCTGGACGTATCTGGAGACGAGGGAGGGACGGAGGAAGAGAAGCAGGATTGGGCACAAAAGTTGGGAGAGTTGAAGAGCAAAAAGCGGCAGAACGGAGTGAGAAGGACAAGCTGACGCATTAAATGCTCGCTACGCTAACGCGCTGGTTGCTGGTGAGACCTGAGCGGAGCGGGAACCCCAAGAGGGGAGAGAAGCCCCATAAAGGCGCAGCCGTGCGTGATGAAGGAGAGCTGCGGCGCGTCGTTGTACTCGGGCAGGGCCAAAGAGAAAGGCGCGATCGTCATGGCGGCCGCATTCATGTCCGCGTCCTGGTGGGGGAGAGCACGGGGGAAGAGGAGGAAGAGAGGAGGGGGGGAGGGGGGGGGGGTGGTTTGACGCGGATACTGCGACGCGGGTGAGGCATATCAAGGCAGTAGCAGCAGAGAGCTTACTGCCAGACCCAGCACGGAGAGATTGGATGGTGCCAGCAGAGCACAGCGCGCACCTTAAAGAACTCGAACTCGCGGCTCCACACGGACAGCGAGCCGCCCTCCGTTTTTATCACGTCTTCCGGTGCGGGCGGCAGGAACTCCGCCTCAGACGCCCACGCGCCCAGCAGCAGCGGCGCGAGGAGAGCGACGCAGGCGAGCACGCGCCACGCCATAGTAGCAAGCAACACGGACTCGCAGGGGCACGCGATTGTGAGGGAGGCCACGAGGCGAGACGAGCGGCGAAGGAGGGTCAAGGGAAGGCCGCAGATGAGCGGACGAACGGCGAGGGGAGCAGAGCGACGCGCACGAGAAATAGGGGAGAGACGGGAGAGAGAGAGGGAGCGATGACGAGGGAAGAAGGCGGCAAGACGCAAATAGATGCGAGGAGAGACGAGAGACGAGAGAGGTGTCTGCGGGTGAGGCGCGCGTCGGGAGGATGGTCGCCGTTCCTATCCCACCATTCGATATTATTCCGAGCGTCGTTCATATCCGGCGCGTGGCGCGGAAAATAAAGCGGTTCCAGCCTCGTGCTAACGCGCATGGAGGCAGTTGCACATGAAGCAGCTGCACCGCTGGCTGCTCGTATGACACCTCGTGGAAGCAAACTAGGGACATGCGATGGCTGCTGCATGCAACAAACTAGTGATGGCTGATCGGCGAAGTCACAGGAAAGGGTGCATCAGAGAAGTTCCTTGGGATTCTCCGAAGTGATGCGAGCTGCACTGTTCCCGCCAGGAGTGAATTCGAAACACGGAAAAAAACGGGAGATACATGTTGCATAAATTAGAAAAGGCGTACAGAAATACAATCAAAAAGGGCTAAATAAGAGGTTGTACATGCAATGACACAATGGCAATCGGGCCCCACAAGTGAGATGCAGGTCGAATGTAGAAGCGCCTCATAATCAGACCTGCTTTTTGCTAGTCATGTCACATCTGCTGGTGGTGGTGGACTAGCATGTCGTATTAGTAGTCGGCCATCGGGTTGTGCGATTCAGCACCTAGCCCCATGACATGTGTAGAGCCATGGATGCATGGAGGAAGGCGCGAGAGAGGTGGTGGAGCATGGAGCGGGCGTGGGTCATGGCAGCACGCATGGCGGCCAGAGCATGTGAGAGCATTGACAGTAGCGAAAACCGTACGACATGGGGCTCATGCCCAATGCCAGCGCCGCCGACAATGCTGTTGCTGCTGACCCCGATGCTGGTGCTACAGCTGCTGCTGATCCCAATGCTGGTGCTACAGCTGCTGGTGTTGCAAACACTGCCAGCATCAGCACCAGTGGCATCACGCCCATCAGGTCCCATCTGCCAGGACGAGCCAGCAGCCAGGTCACCCTCCACCTCCACTGCACTCACAGGCCGTTGCACCGCATGCTCCGCCAATGAGTGGGGGGCAGCTGGCGTTGGGGTGAACGAGGGAGGCGGTGCAGCAGCCATCCGCGAAGCTGCGCTGAGGGGCAACATGGAGGCGGAGGGTCAGAGAGGCCAGAGGGTGAGGAGGAGGTGGCGGTGGAGTGGAGAGGGGAGGAGAACGGAGAGTGTGAGGGTGAGGGTGAGGAGGAGAAAGGCAGCTTGGATGGTGGAATAACAGGCTGATGCTGCTGTGGCCCTACTGCTGAATCTTGACACTCCTCCGATTTTCCAGCTGCTGCTGCCGATGAGGATAATGATGGTGATGACGAGGATGAGGTGAAACCAGTGCTTATACAGGAGCGTGGAACATCACGAGTGCTTATACTGGGAAGTAGAATGCCCCCTGTGCTCCTTTGCCCCGCGTGTGACACTGCTGCAGCAGTGAGAGCCTTGTTGGTCTTGACTAGCTTGCGACCTGGGTGCGGGACCAGACCACCACCCCTCTCAGTCCCGCATGCCTTGCCTAGAGGGGTCACGCCTCTGGCTGCCAGCATCCTCTTATCCTTCGCCCCCTCTGCTGTCTCCTCCAACGCACCACTCTCAACACCCCCACCGCGCTTCATATCACCACCCTGCCTGCTCCCCTTCTTCTCACGCCCACTCCCCTTCCTCCGCACTCTACCTTGCTCCAGCCCCCCTGCACCATTCCTGGCACCATCCCTGGCACCTGCCACACTGTCAGCTCCGCCCTTCTCCTCCCCACCTTCTGTCTCCCTCTCCGCCTTGCCCCTCTCCAGTCTCTTCGCTCCTGCCCTGCTCCCTTCCATCCCCACCTCCCCACTGCCTGCAGAGACAACCTTCCACGCACTCTTCTTCTGCCTATCTGAACCCCCTTCCTTGCCATCTCCCCTCTCCGACCCCTTAACTGTGCCCCTATTGCGCTCTCTCCTTCTCACACTCCCTGCCTGCACTGCACCCCCAGTGGCTGCCTCACCACCACCCACGGTGTTTCTTCCCTCCACTCCCCCCCACCTCTCCTTCCCCCTCTTCTTCTCCGCCTTCTCACTCTCTCCCGTCCCTCCACTGCCCTCCGCCACTCTCCTCCTTGCCTTACCCTTAACCTTCCGCGCCACACCCCTCGCCCTTTTGCTTCCCCCGTCTCACCACCGCCACCAGAAAACAGGCCTCCTTCCAGCAAGGCCTCTCTGTCGCCACCCATACCAGAAGCAGAGAAGGGTCCCACGGCTCATCCAAGTAACGGCCCTGGTCCCACCCCGAGAGGGGGAAACTCGCACTCCTCTCCCACCCCTCCCACTCGCCCCTCCCCCTCCCTCCCGCACCCCACTGCCCTCCCACTCCTCCTGACACCACGCCACCGCTGCAGCCGCTGCCACAGCTGCCGTGCTCTCCCTGCCCTCGTTGCAGGGGAAGCCCGGGAAGAGCGAGGAAGGGCCGCGGTAGGAGGGCCAGTCGGTGTAGGATCGGAAGAGGGAGGCATGGGCAATGGGTCGACTTGGGGGGATGAGTGCATGTGGGGGGATGAGTGCAGGTGGGGAGACGAGTGCAGGTGGGGCGACGAGTGCAGGTGGGGGGGAGGAGCGCAGGAGGGGCGATGAATGCATGCGCGTGTGGTGGCGGTGGCACAGCATGGCATGCGGCGAGTTCAGGGCCCGCTGCGACGCGCGGTGGAGTGATGCACGGAGGTTGAACAGCTCGTCCTCGCCACTGCCATCCTCATGCATTCGACACTGCTCCTCATAATACCCCTTCTCCATCTCCCTTTCTGCGCCCCTCAGCCGCCCCCAGCTCGCCCTGCTGGCCTGGTTCTGCCTCGACCGCATGGTGCTGCCCCAGCCACTCACCCCACGGCCTGTGTCCTCCTGCCCGCTCGCCTCACTCTCCTCCTCGTACCCGCATTGCTTGTACCCGCTCGCCTCGCACCCGCACTCCTCCACATACCCACACTCCTCAAAGCACGCCGTACCGTCAAAACACCCCCCACCCTCCACGCATCCTGCTCCACCGCCCTCACACCCCCTTTCATCGCCATACATCCCATCATCTGCGTACCGCAAGTCATCCAAGAAACCGCCCCCCATATACCCCATCGCCTCATCCATCTCCGCCACCTCTCCCCTCCCCAACACCACCACGTCCCCTCCGTCCCCCTCCCCGTCACTCCCCCTCACGCTGCATCTGCTTTTCTCGCTCCCCATTCTCCCTATTGCACCCAAATCCCCCCCCATGCTTCCCCCTAGGTTTCCCCCACGGACGGCAGGCCGGCCGCCAGCTGGCGCATGGGGACGAACATCCGCGCGCCTCCCCCCGCGCCCTCCTCGTCGTCCCTTAAAGGCACGTCTTCGAACACGTCCAGCGCATGCAGCGTGCGCGCCAGCACCATCGGCAGCGTCCCGCTACCCCCGCTTCCCCCACTCCCCCCGCTTCCCCCGCTTCCGCCGCTTCCCCCGCTTCCCCTCACATCCCCCAGCACTCCCTCCTGCCTTTCCTCCCCCCTATCGGCGTCCTCTTCACCCCCCTGCCTTTCCGCCTCCGCGTCTTTCCCCGCCTCCCCCTTCTCCCCGGGAAGCGCCAGCTCTTCCGCGCGCAGAAGCTCCCGCGACGCCTGCAGCGCGGATTTCACCTGCGCGGCAGTCCCGAGGGCACCGCCACGACCGCGTCCGGGTCCCACGGCGCCAGACGCTGCTGCCCTTCCGCCAGCCCGTGCGCCTGCGCGCGCGCCAGCGCCGCGAGCAGCTGCGCGTGGTCCGGGTGCGCCGGGGATGCGCTGTGAAGCTCGTGGTAGCAAATCTCGCCGACCGTCGACTGCGGGGGGGAGGAACAGAGGCCAAGGGCATTGCCAAACAGAGACGAATTTATAGTCAGCACAAACGGCAAGAGGAAAGAAAAGAAGCCCCGCGGGACGTGGGACTACGAAGAAACGGCGTGAATGGTGCGAGACGCGGGACTCACCACGGCGGATCGAAGCGCGGAGGTGACGGCGCGCACACCAGGCAGAACGGCCGTGAACGCGCCCCTCAACACTCCTCCCACCGCGGACCCGCCCGAGCCAGCCTCCGTGCGAGCAGACCCGCACTCGCCTTCCACGAGAGGCAACACTGGCCGGCTCGTGCTTATATCGGGGCCACCATCGCAGCGCGGCTCCACGACGTGGCAGCGGCAGCTGGCATGGCTGCGATCGTCGTCAAGAGAGGTCACGCCGCGCTGCGGAGAGCTGGCATGGCTGCTTATTTCTAGTTCACGCCGCGCTGCCAGCGCGCGCGATGCCGCAGATAGGCAGGCAACTACCGGCCGCCCGTCAGAGCCGTTAGTGGCGTTACCGTCAGAGCAATCGGCGCCGGCTGCAAGTGGCTCCTCTCTCAAGCCCGTTTTCCACGGCTCCCGGCGCCATCTCTGCCGCAGCATGAGCCAGCCTTGCACCCGGCCGTTCATCGCCTTTTCCTGGCATACCCCTGCCCGCACCCAATGACCCCTCATTCCCGTCCTGCATCCATTCACCCGCTTCCTGCGATCCCTCGCTCTCCCCGGGTATCCCCGCCACGCGGAACACGTCCATCTCCCGCCCTTCGATGCCCTCCGCTTCAGACTCGCTACTGTCCTCTCCGATTCCCGCTATGCGTACCGCACTCGCCAGGCGCGTCGCCGCGCGCCTCTTCCGTCTCTTGCTCCTCCCCCACAACGCCGCCTAGCAGTGTATTCTGAGCCGTCTCTAGATTGCTCCTCCCAACCACGCTGCCTAGCAGCTCCAGCCCGCACCCCGCGTCCTCCCGCCTGAGCCCCTTAACTACGTGCACTCGTAACTCGCTGTCGATCTCCACTATCCCCACCATCCCCGCCATCTCTTCCGTTTCCCCCATCTCCGCCGGTTCCGCCGTCTCCGCCATCTCCGCCATCGCCGCCACCCCCTGGTCGGCGCCATGTCGATCATCTCCGTGCCCTCTGCCTCGCTCTCCGAGCTCGAGGCGCCCGGCCAGCTGAAGATGCTTCTGATCGACTCCACCTCGTCCGCGTCGTCGCCACCATGCGCGTCCCACACGTCCGGTTCGTCCCACAACCCCACGCTGCTGGCGTCCCACGACCGCTCCGACCAACAGTCCTTCGCCATCTGGTCGCGTGTAACCACTTCGTTCGCAGCCTCCTCGTTCGCAGACACCGCCTCGCACCGTTCCTCGCCACTGACAGCACTATCCCGCTCACTGGTAGCGTCCTCCCGTTCGTCTTCGCCTCCTGTGCCAATTGCACCGGGGATCGACGCCTCCGAAGCTAATGAGCTGTCGCGCGAATCCCCTGAACTCTCTGTACATCCATCGCCCGAGTACTCGTCAACGGCGCGTTTCCCGCTCTCTATTGAGGCTCGTGTGCTCGTCTGTTCGAGCGGTGCGGATGTCTTCGTCTGGTGCAGCACGCCGAGAGCCGAGGATTTTAATCGACTCGCGAGGTGCACCCAGTCGAGCTGACGTGGATCCATGGCCGCTGAAATCTTCCAGGAAGTTCGGGGAGATGATTCGGCGGAGTCGCTTGACGACGCTGACGTGTCAAGGTCATCCGGACCGTCCTCATCCACGTCATGCATCGGATAGACTGTAGCCGCTACAACTGGGAATTCCGCTACCTTCACTACTTCCACCTCATCAGCTAGTAGCGTGTCCATACAGTGCATGAAGTCTGCTACGCGGTCACTTCTATCGGAATCCTCGCTACCTCTCGAAAAAATGCCCGGACAGTAATCCTTCCAAGTGCGGCTCGGAATTTCCTGAGGCGACGAGCCCGAGAGGCTGTTGGCGATGGCTAGACCCATTTCATAACCATAACCTAGAGAGCTCCAAGAACGAAGAAGAGACGATTCCGCAACGGATCGCTTTTGTGGTGACAATTTCGAGAAAGCAACCTCGAGTCGAGAAGCAACCTCGAGAAAAAGAGGAGCAGGGGACTGGACTGGTGGAATGGCGTGGGGCTGGAGGAATCAATGGTCCAATCAATGGTGCGCCCTGAGCTGACTGTTGGGGTCACACGGGGCGGGGAGGGGCTGATGTACGGCTGACGGGGGAAGCAGCAGGTCGAGGAGGAGAGGGCGCTGGAGAACAGGTACTGGCCTCGGCCAGCGCAAACCGCCTGAATTGCGTGCGCCTGACGGCTCCTTTCGCCTTTCCGCGCCAGGCATGTGCCAAACTGCTGCTCCGCCTGCAGGTTTGAGAGGTGGTTGGGGGGGTGGGTTCGTTTGGTTGCTGCTCCACCTTGGGGTTTGGCTTGGCACCGCCAACCAACAGTTGGCTTGAACTGACTAGACGACAACGGACCTTTCCCGGTGGGGGCTCACAAACCAGATTCGTGGCCAACGATTCGCAACTGTGTTACAGAAGTCATATATTACAGATGGCAAATATATTCTCAAATGAAATTGCACCCTTTCTCCGCTCTTTCCTACTTGTAAGGAAATTCCCTTTTTCCTTATTGGGCTTGACTACAGCGCGTACGCCGTCGACTCTCAGAATTCCAGGCTTGGCCAACTTCTTTGGTCTCGAACCATTTCGTGAACCCAAACCTAGACGCGCGGCACTTCCGTGGCTTTCACCAACCGGACCGCCCCAACCTGTTCGTGTGGTTCTCGACTAGCTCTGTTCGTGCCCATAATGCCTAGGCCCTCATTTGTATTGACACTCTTGAATCACGACTCCTTAATTACACTACCTGTTATTATTCTGATTAATTCATAACAGCTGGCAGGGTCTCAGATATCAGACGAAATCGGTCTGATGGTTTGAAAATCAGACCTGTTTTTTTCCATTCATCTGATTTTTTTACGGGCTAAATTAATTCGTCTGATCGTTCAGATAAGCCATAAGATTTCGTCTGAAAGTTCAGACCATGTGTAGACTTTCGTCTGATAATCCAGATAGCGCGTATTTTTTCGTCTGAGGGTCTGAGACATTACTCTTTGTCCCCCCATCCCTCCCCCCTCCCCCCCCCACAACCGAGATTTTTTTGGCTAAGTCCTCGACTGCCAGATACATTCCCCCCACACCCTAGAATATATAGTTTTTTCCGGCTAAGTGCCCCACACAAGAGATATTCCTCCACACGCTCGTCGCAACAACAAAAAATTGGTTGTCTCCCACACCAGAGTCATTCGTCAACCCCCCACGCAACCCATTCAAGTCCCTAACTGCGAGATACATTTCCCCACACACCCCTCGCAGGCCCGGTTTTTCCAGGTACGTCCCTGCTACCTTGCTTCCACGCTGTTTTTCGGCTTCGTCGCTTGACTGGACTGGGGGCGGGGTGGAAGGAACCCTGAAATTGCTAGGCAAAGAGAGGGGGCTGCCTGCACGTGACATGTCACGCCACCTGCAAGTGTTCCTGCCAGAATCCAAGCCTCAACCAACCCTCCTACGGCCTCTTCACAGGCCTGCCTGTTCCAAGACTCCCACGCTACAGTGCTGTGCAATGAATCCTGCGCTCTTCTGCGTGGTTCAGACTGACGAGGCAGGACGTGTTTTAAACTTCTTCGCAGGTCACATTTTCCAGAGAGGCGGGGGTCTCTACACTACAGTTCGATTATGACCCGAGCAGAATCAAAGCGGTTGAGAATGTGATACTGAAATGAAGTGAGGTTGACAAGAAAACCTTCGAGCGTGCTCTCAGGCGAGGACCGAGTCTGCGAATTGGGTAGCCTGGGAAGAGGTTCGTAAGAAAACGCTCTTAGAAAAAAACGAACAAATGGAGGTCGACGAAATTACAAGTGACGCAAAATTTTCGTCTGAATTTTAAGACCAGTGTAAAATTTCCGTCTGAAATTTCAGACTCCTCGATTTTTTTCGTCTGATGGTCAGACCAAACTTTGAAACCCCGTCTGATTCTCAGACAGCCCCAAATCCTAGCTGAAACCCTGACAGCTGGTATCAGAGCTCCGTTCCTGTCCTCTTAGTCTTCCGTAGAGTTGTCCGTTTATATCGGGAGAGGACCCAACATAATAGGGGATTGGCCTGCGATTGGTAGGTGAGCTCGTTAAAGCTCCTACAACTAAAAGCGTGTGCACCCTCAGATCTCTGATGTAAAATTTCCAGCATGTCTACCATGCCGGGAAACCTTTGCCCGTCGTAGTGTTAGGAACGTGACTCATGGAGAGTTTGACGTGTTGCAAGCCAGGGCGGCTACAGTGACGACACTGCAGGTCCAACTTCAACAACTCGCCGATAAGTTCGAGTTGCTGGGAAGCGAAGTTCGGACGCTGCGCAACGAAAACTCGTTGCTTTGCCAGACGCGGGGTGAAACGCGTCAGGGGCGGCCTGTTACTCGGGACGAAGATGCTGCGAGCGAAGCAAGGGCGTCGGGGACACCTGAAGCAGTTGAAGAAGTCCTCAGCGAGCCGCGGGTGGCCATTAAAATCAAGCCACCGATGCCCCCGCCATTCAATCCGACCGACATGATAACTACAGTGAGCAGGTGAGCCATGGAAATCTTCTGCACGGCAGCAAGTATTAATGACAACGCATCACGTGTCAACTTGGCTGTGTCGCTGCCAAGGGGACCGGCACTCGACTGGTGGCGCATGCATCTAGACGAAAGAGGAGCCCCGACAGGGAATCAACGGGCGGTAAATGGGGAGCTGAGTTCATCAACGGCGAAGGCATAACCGATCTTTGGGTCAGCCACGATCCGCACGTGGAAAGCGTGGGGCTAAACGTTGAAGGGCACATTCGAGCACATATCCATGCTCGTAAATGCTTGTACAAAGCTTCCGATTTGGAGACAGTTGGGCTCTGTCCAAGAATACACGGCGTCGTTTCTGGCAATCTGCGACCAAATCGGAGGGCTTAGCGAAGACGAGCGCATCGATCGCTACGTGGGTGATCTCAAGCCGGAGATTCAGCAAGAGATCGTCCTGCGAGCCCCGGCGACATTCAACGAAATAGTTTGCATAGCAGACGCGCTGGACGCACGACGTGGACTCGCGAGAGCGGGTTTCCAGGAGGGAAATCGCTTTCGAGGCCAGCCCCAACTCACATCAATCAACGCCGTGGACGTGTTTGCAGCCCGAGTATTTTCGGGAACCTGCTTCCACTGCAAACAGCCGGGTCACATGGTGAGGGACAGCCTGCAGCTGAAGAAGAACTTACCTAACGACAAGAAGCAGTCGGGAAATGGAGATCGTTAGTAGCAGATGGGCCACCTACTGACTTGACTGCGTCGCCCAAACGCCACCACCCCCACAAGGTTATAGTGCCGATTTGGGCTATCGACCATTCCTGGCTGAATAAGGGGGGTGAACCGGTTAATCGCCCTATGCTGGTTGAAGGAAGAGTTGGCGACACCCGCATCAAAATATTCGTTGATGGCGAGGCGGGCCACATTTGATGGACGTAACAAATGCGAAAAAATTGCAATTGCAGCTGGAGCGCTGCATGCCTGAATCGACGCGAGATTGGTTGACGGCACACCACTGGCAATTCGGGAGCGGGTACCTCACGTGCGAGTAACATGCGGCAAAAGTTTTAGTTTTACGACGAAGATGCTGGCGACAACTTTGGACAGCTGCGACATGCTGTTGGGACGCGATTGGCTACCTGAATACAACCCGAGCATTGACTGGCGGACGGGCAATTGTCGCATCAAATGGAGTGGCGAGTGGCGACGACTACCCAAGTGGAGCTGTCAAGATTCGACCACATCGACGGTCAGCGCAGTAACGATCAAGCGAGCCATGATTCGAGGGGCTTAACTGTATGTCGTCCGCTGGATCGCATCAACGGCTGTCGACACACCGACCGACATTGACAAACTCTGCGTAGCTGTCCCGGATGACTTGGCGATGGTGGTTCGGAAACACGCCGACATTTTTCCAGACGACCTACCGGCGGGTTTGCCACCTGAGCGAGAACATGACCACAAAATCGAGCTGGAGCCCGGCGCGCAGCCTCCTGTTCGGACTCAAATGCAGCTGACTCAGCCCAAGCTAGATGAACTTCGAAGCCAGTTGGACTACCTGCTCGAGAAAGGTTTCGTTTGCCCCAGCACATCCCCGTTTGCAGCTCCGATCCTGTTCACCCCGAAGAAAGATGGCGGTCTACGAATGTGTATTGACTACCGCGCCTTGAACTGGGTTACCATCAAGTCTCGCTATCCTATCCCGCGTGCTGATGAACTCATCGACCAACTTCGCGGAGCCAAATTCTTATCGAAAATTGACCTGCGAGGCGGTTACCACCAGTTCTGCGTGAACGAAGCTGACTACTACAAGACGGCGTTTCGGACCCGGTACAGGAGTTACGAGTACACGGTTATGCCTTTTGGCTTAACAAACGCACCTTCGACGTTCCAGCTAACCATAAATGAGGTTTTTCGGCTGCTAATGGATAAATGCGTCATCGTGTACCTCGACGACATACTGGTCTACAGCACTACCCGGAAGCAACATTTGAAGGATTTTGACAACTGTTTTCTCCCTATTACAGCAGCACCGACTCATCACCAAGGGCTCTAAGTGCGAGTTTCTAAAACACGAACTAGAGTTTTTGGGCCACGTAATTTCCATCGACGACGTTAAATCGACCCCAAGATAAATGCAACGATACAAGACCGGAAGTCGCCGGTTAATCTCCGCGAAAACTCAGAGTTTTCTTGGGTTTGTCAATTACGCCCGCCATTTCATTCCGAACATGGCGGGGGTAACTTCCTCTCTCACCAATCTCCTGAAGAAGGGCAAGTTTTATGAGTGGGGGGGAGAGCAGCAGGCTGCGTTCGAACAGCTCAAACTTTTCCTGACTACACCTCCGGTTCTTTGAATTGTAGATCCTCACCGTCCATTCGAGCTCATCACCGACGCTAGCGATTTGGCCGTTGGCGCAGCCCTGTTACAAGACTTCAGCGAAGGCCTACAACCGATCGCCTACGAGTCACGAAAGCAGAACCCGGCCGAG